AATGTCGGCGCAAGAAACTGTGTTTGGACATAGGGATTCAAGATGGGATTTGGCGTCGTCGATTACTTCGAAGCCTCGTAATAATGGGTTGGCGAAATTGTCTTTTTCGGAATCAGGATTTTGCGGCGTTTTGTCGAGGAGTATCGATGCATCGCATCCCTGTCATTGTTTAATTCATAGATAGAATTAGTGTTTATGTAACGAATGAGCCCATCACTAGGAGATATTGTCAACTTTCCTTTTCGGGCTTCCCCTCAAAATTTTTAAACGGTCTATAATATTTCGTTCGACCCCAATCGATAGATGTGTCAATGACAAGGTTGAGCTCTGAAGGGGGTGGACACGAGGCGGTGTACCACACAGAACCCTAGGTGGATAGGTGGGTTGCACATCGATTGGAGAAGGGAACAAGTGTTACCGAGGATGCTGGACCTCAGAGAGGGGTGGATTGTGAGATCCCACATCGGTTAGGGAGGAGAATGAAACATTATTTATGAGGGTGTGGAAACCTCTCCCTAGCAGAAACGTTTTAAAAACCTTGAGGGGACCCTGAAAGGAGGTGGATTTGAGGGTTTCACAATGATCGGAGAAGGGAACTAGTATTAACAAAGACGCTGGGCCCTGAAGGGAAGGAAGTGAATTGTGAGATCTCACATAGGTTGGGGACGAGAACGAAACATTCTTTATGAGATTGTGGAAACCGCTCCCTAACATAAACGTTTTAAAAACTAAAAAAAGGACACTGGTGGTCAATTTGAATCGTTACCATTTAAATCTATAATCCAAAAATGGTGTAATACTAAAGGATTATAAGATGGAAGGGAGAGTAAATATAGAAGAAAATGTAAAAAGTAATGGAGGCTTACTAGAACAATACAATCATGAAAATGCAAACGAATAAGGCCAGCAGCCATGCCAGGGTTGTGGTGAACAGCCTTCGCCACTGTGGCTCTCACAATGCGTTCAGCCAAAGGACATGTCTGACGATAGAACCCTAATTCCAAGTCTTGACAATAAGCTTTAGATGCCATTACGATGCCCACCATTAATAAACTCACAAGCTTGGCTTCTCCACTCAAAGTATTCATTTTGTACTAGCTAGCTTAGACAAAGAAGAAAGAGAAGATAGATGGATAAGAGTTCGTGATCGATCATATATATATATATATATATATAAAATGAAAATTACGCATAATTTACTCCGTCATCAACTTATCTTGAAATGTTTCTAAGAGTGAAGGATATCTTTACCGACAAACACGAGTTCTTTAACCGTGTTTTTTTCTCACTCACATGCTTTCTTAAAAAATCTCTAAGATATCATGAACATAGGATTACTCCAAGCTAAAACATGTTTAAATTTAGAGTTCTTATGATTGATCGATCGAAAAGTAGAGTACATTAGAGGGATATGATCGAAACATTCAAAGACTTTGGCATAGAAATTGGAGGATGCAACAATTATTAGGACAAAAAGGGTTTCATTGATAGGGATTTAGATTTGGAGAACAAATTAAAAAGACAAACTTTGATGAAATTGAATATTTGTCGCATTTAAGGATAAGACTTAGGAATATCCACAACACCATACCAATGTTCCTTAGGAATGATCGAAATGTAATGTTCAACAATTTTGTATGGACAAAAAGTTGACACTTTTTTTAAAAAATAGTGTCACTTTTGCATAAACGTTAAGATCCGACTCAATTATTCAAATTATAAATAATCCACTCGATCTCAATTTAAGGATTTATTTAAAATTGTATTTTTTTTATTTTAAAATTACATCCAAAAATGGTTAAAATGATTTTTAAAAGTGATGAAAGAATAAATAAAAATAATAATATGAAATTAAATAGAATTAAAATAATTATTTATATAATTTTATCCTAAACCATTATTTATATTTATATATATATATATATAAACAATAAAATAAATTCAAGTCAATTCAGTTTAACATAATAAATCGAGTTTAACTCAATAAATTGAGTTTAATTTTTTTTTATCACTCCAATGATAAAAATCTTTTAATTATTATACAATAAAAATAAAGATTTGAAATATTATTTTAATATTAAACATGAATATTATTTATTATTTAAAATTTAAGTGTAATTGCACATGGACGGTGGAGATTCCAAGATTTTGACTTTAAAATAAAATAAATAAAGAAAAATTCCAGCTCATCGCCACCTCATAATATTCCAATTTCCTAAATTCTTAATATTAATAATAACGAAATTCATTAAAATATTGCAAAAAGGACGGAAATCTCAGATGGAAGAATCGGGCGGCGGAATTGAAGAACAAACCATGGTAAAGCCGCCGTCGACGGTCAAGTTATGCCCACTAACATAAGCCGACTCATCGGACGCCAAAAACAAAACCGCCTCAGCGACATGTCGACATTTCAATACAATCCCTTTCAAATTCGCCAGACTGCTTGTGTTCCTCTCCGCCTCCTCCACACTTATATTATAACTCTCACACGTCATCGGCGTCGCCACCCCGTACGGCGAAACTCCGTTCACTCTAATCCCGTACTTCCCCAGCTCACTACACGCCGTTTTCACCACCCCAACCACCGCGCTTTTCGACACGGTGTACGCTGCCGGCCCAACCCCACCTATCGCCGCTGCCACGCTGGAAGTACAAATAATCGACCCACGTGTCTTGCTTTTTACCATCGCACGTGCGGCATGCTTCACCGTTACCGTCACGCCTTTCACGTTAGTTCTCATCGTGTTCTCGAATTCCTCCATGTCTAAGTCTAGGATTCCGGCAAGTGGGCCCATCTTGCCGGCGTTGCTGAATAGGATGTCCAACCGGCCGTGTTTTTCCACCGTGAAGGCGACGGTTTTCTCGACCGACACCTCGTCTCTGACGTCGCAGTGGTGGAAGCTGGCTTGGTTTTGGCCGATTTCCGCCGCGAGTTTTTGTCCCAATTCGTCTTGGATGTCGGCGATGACGACGATCGCGCCGTTGGCTGCGAATAGTCTCGCCGTCTCCTCGCCGATCCCACTGGCGGCGCCGGTGATCAGAGCTACTTTTCCTTGTAACCTAAGAAATTAAAGACAGAAATAATAGTGAATAATTAAAATCAATTTGTTTCAACATAAATTGATTAAAAATCTTACCTTGGCTTCGACATTGTTCTTCAGAATTTGAGAATTGAGAGAGATCCTTGATCGTGTGTATATATATATATTAATATAAATCTTTGAATATCTCACTGATATGATCATGGGGATTTGTGACATTAATTAATAACTTACTCAAAAAAATTATTTTTTGAAATCTATAGTTTGTATACTTTAATGTTGTAATTATAAGGTGGGTTATTAGGTAATAATTATAAGAAAAGAATGTGAATTACTTAAAATAATTAGATAAATTGGATTTGAAATTGTATAATGAAGTTGTGGATGATATTAGGAGATGTCTTGCAAGGACGAAGCAGGTGCGGTGCTCGAGCAAGTGGGTGAGATTTTCCATACAAATTTTAAAAATTTTGGGTTCATTATTATTCCTACTCTATGGAAAAACAAATGAATGGGTGGTCCTACATAATTAGAACAAAATTGATTGGTCCCAACTCTATTTTTAAGATTATTATGGATATTAAGAATATTTGATGTTTGAAACCGATGTTAGTGATTGATTATAGTTTATGGTGATCGGGTTGGGTCAACCCAACAATTCAACCCAACTCTATTTTTAAGATTATTATAGATATTAAGATTATTTGATGTTTGAAACGGAGGTTAGTGATTGGTTGTAACTTGAAACATTTCATATTTGTATTTTTTGAGATTTTAGTTATTAATATAAAAAAATTAAGTCAACAAATTTTGGAAGCGGGTGAGATTTTCCATACAAATTTCAAAAATTTTGGGCTCATTAACTGTACTATATGGAAAAAAATGATTTGGTGGGTCCTATATAAATTAGAACAAAATTCATCTTCCTTAAGGAAAGTGAGGAAAAGTAACGTAACAAAACTAGAAGGGTGTGGAAATCGGGAGAAGAGAACGAAACTTGAAACCTAAAGAAGAATAGAAGGGTGTGGAAACCGGGAGATCAAAACGAAACTTGAAACCTAAGGAAGAATAGAAGGGTGTGGAAACTGGAAGAACAGAACGAAACTTGAAACCTAAGGAAGAATAGAAGGGTGTGGAAACTGGGAGAATAGAACGAAACTTGAAACTTAAGGAATAATAAAAGGGTGTGGAAACTGGAAGAACAGAACGAAACTTGAAACTTAAGGAATAATAGAAGGGTGTGGAAACCGGGATAACAGAACGAAACTTGAAACTTAAGGAATAATAAAAGGGTGTGGAAACTGGAAGAACAGAACGAAACTTGAAACTTAAGAAATAATAGAAGGGTGTGGAAACCGGGAGAACCGAACGAAACTTGAAACTTAAGGAAGAAACATTCTTTATAAAGGTGTGGAAACCTAAAGAAACTAGTGTAAGCGAAGAAACATTCTTTATAAGGGTGTGAAAACGTAAGGGAACAAGTGTTAGCGAGGAAACATTTTTTTATAAGGGTGTGGAAACCTAAAGGAACAAGTGCTAGCGAAGAAACATTATTTATAAGAGTGTGGAAACTTAAAGGAACGAGTGCTAGCGAGGACACTGAGCCTTGAAATTCTTTATAAAGATGTGGAAACTTAAGGGAACGAGTGTTAGCGAGGACACTTGAGGAAACCTAAGGGAATATAACGAAACATTCTTTATAAGGGTGTGGAAACGTAAGGGAACGAGTGCTAGTGAGAACGCTGAGCCCCGAAGTAGGGTGAGGGGTAGACATAAGACGATGTGTCAGCAAGGACGCTGGACCCTGAAAGAGATGGATTGGTGGGTCTCACATCGATTGGAGAAAGGAACGAGTATCAACGAGTACATAACGAAGACGCTCGAGCTTCAAAGTAGGGTGGATAAGCATGGTGTACACCTTATTTTTTAAAACTTTTATTCATTGCTCAATTAATATTTCTTTCACACATGATTCACGATTATTCATTTCCATATTTATCATCAATATCTTTTTCTCAACTCAACCTATAATCCTCTTGGATCGATTAAGTTTTATTTGAATTTGAACATACTCATCTCATTTCAAACTACATCATTCAAATCATACAATAAAAGAAACGAATCACCCTAATGATTTGACCGCCGTGAAGCCGCCATCGACCACCAAGTTTTGACCACTTACATAGGCAGATTCATCCGATGCAAGAAACACAACGGCCTCAGCTACATGGCTAGCCTTCAGCACCACACCCTTCAAGCTTGCCGATGCAGAAACAAGCTCTTCAACCTCACTCCCTTCCATATTATAAAACTCACAAGTCATCCTCGTCGCCACCGCGTACGGCGACACACAATTCACCCTAATCCCATACGCCCCGAGCTCCCCGCAGCACGACCGCACCACCCCCAAGATTGCATGCTTCGAGGTTATGTATGCTGTCGATACTACCCCACCAAGCACCGATGCCGTGCTCGCCATACATATGATCGACCCTCGTATATTTCCTTTCACCATTGCTTGTCCAGCATGCTTGATCGTCGCCACCACCTAAGAAAAACTTAATATTATATCGTAACTTATCAACTTAAACTTTTGAGTTAAGTGTATGAACAGAACATAGAACATACCCCACGGACGTTGGTTGAAATTACGTCGTCAAAGTTGGACATGTCGAACTCTAGAATTGAAGTAAGAGAGCCTGTTATGCCAGCATTACTGACAAGAATGTCGAGACGACCGTATTTCTCAACGGTGTAGTTCACGGTTTCTTCAACTTGGTTCTCGTCTCTCACATCGCAGTGATGAAAGCTGGCTTGGTCGACGCCAATGGAGGCTGCTACTTTTTGACCCAGTTCGTCGTTGATGTCGGCTACGACGACATAAGCACCGTTGGCTGCAAAGAGCCTCGCCGTCTCTTCACCAATGCCATTGGCAGCTCCTGTTATGAGAGCCACCTTCCCGTGCAGCCGCCTGGTTGAGAAACTTGTAAGATATTGAGATGTTGGTAATGGACATAAATAGAGAGAATAGATTGTTACCTTGTGGATTTAGACATGGTTGAGATCGTCTTCAAGCTAAGCTCTTTGCTATGTTCAAATTTTCACACAACCAATATAAACATAATCATATATTGACAATAAATTTGTGGAAGAACCATGAAGATATTATTTCATCAATGTGTGGCTGAAAATATAAGCAAACGATTGGTCCTCAATTATTGGTTGCCTTCATTTTTTTTAAGCTATAGATAAGTAGGACACTCCATGACCTAACCTAAAGTTAATAATAGAAGGGTTAAAACAAGAGCCCACTAACTTAAGCATCAAAGGCTAAGTGACGAGAGCCCACTAACTTAAGCATCAAAGGTGAAGTGACAAGTACCATGTGGAGTTATTTGGCATAGTGACGAGAGCCCACTAACTTAAGCATCAAAGGTGAAGTGACAAGTATCATGTGGAGTTATTTGGCGTAGTGACGAGTATCACATGGTGTTATTTGTCTCATATTTGTGCTGAAGCCTAAACTATTCGATCGTGTGAGATCTTATATAACTTGAAGAGGGAAACGAATCATTCCTTATAAGAGTGTGAAAGTCTCTCTCTAACATATGCATTTTAAAATCGTGAGACTGATGACGATACGTAATAGGCCAAAGCGGACAAAATATATTAACGGTGGGTTTGAATTGTTACAGATGATATCAGAGTTAGGGGCAATGTGCCAACGAGGACGTTGGCACCCAATGGGTGGATTGTGAAATTCCATATTGGTTGAAGAGGGGAATGAATCATTCCTTATTAAAGTGTGAAAATCTTTCTCTAGCACATGCGTTTTAAAACTGTGAGGCTGACGACAATACATAATAAACTAAAACAGACAATATTTGCTAGCAGTGATCTTAAGTTGTTACAAATGATATCAGAGCCAGACACTAGGCGGTGTGTCAGCGAGGACGTTGGCATCCAAAGGGGTGGATTGTGAGATCCTACATCGGTTGGAGAGGGGAATGAATCATTCTTTATAAACGTGTGAAAACCTCTTACAAGCAGACGTATTTTAAAACCGTAAGGCCGAAAGCAATACACACCCAAAACGGACAAATTGGCTTCCATTTCATTGCACAAGTTAATTTTCATTGCAATTGAAGGTGTGTTTATTCCTCAAAGTTCCAACTTTGAAATGTTTCAAAAGTAGAACATTATTACTCAAATCATACAAACCCTTAAGACAACTGAATCATACGGCTGATCTGACGGCCGTGAAGCCACCATCAACCACCAAGTTTTGACCACTTATATAAGCTGATTCATCAGATGCAAGGAACAGAGCGGCCTGAGCTACATGGCTAGCCTTCAGCACCGCACCCTTCAAGCTTGCCTTCGAACAAACAATCTCTTCAAGCTTATCATCTTCCAAATTCAAAGCCCGGCGAGCCATGGGCGTTGCCACCCCGTATGGCGACACACAGTTCACTCTAATCCCATACGCCCCGAGCTCCAAGCTGCTCGACCTCACCACCCCCAACACCGCGTGCTTCGAGCTTGTGTATGCCATCGGCCCCGCCCCTCCTATCATGGCCGACACGCTCGTTGTGCAAATGATCGACCCACGTATGTTTTTCTCCACCATAGCTCGCGCACCGTGCTTAATCGTCCCAACCACCTTTTTAAAAGTACAAATCCAAAAACTTAAAAAGCTAAATTATAACCACATATCAAATATCGGATAGATTCTTCAAATTTAAAGGGTACGAATAGATTTCCAAATAACATACTCCACGGACGTTGGTTGCAAATATGTCATCGAAATCGGAGATGTCAAGCGATAGAATCGAAGCTAGAGAGCCCACGATGCCAGCATTGCTGAAGAGAATGTCGAGGCGGCCATGTTTTTCAACGGTGTGGCTCACCATTTCTTCGACTTGCTTCTCGTCTCTAACATCACAATGGTGAAAGCTGGCTTGGTCGATGCCGATGGAGGCAGCCACCTTCCTACCCAGTTCGTTATCGATGTCGGCTACGACAACGAAAGCGCCGTTGGCTGCAAATAGTCTCGCCGTCTCCTCGCCGATGCCACTGGCGGCTCCTGTTATGAGAGCCACCTTCCCATGCAGCCGCCTACATCAGAAATTTTAGTACATAGATAGAGAGAGAGAGAGAAAGACACGAGTGTTTACCTTGGTTTCGACATTGTTAAGATGGTCTCCAAGCTTTTGGATATATGTCCAAATTTGTACACAATTTTTTATATAAATACATCTCCTATAATTAAAATAATTTTTAATGTCATCAATGTAATAAAATAATGCCAAAATTTTAATTCACCGACAATAAATTCGTTAAAGACTCAAGTGGACGTAATAAGTCGGTATAAAAATGAAGATTCAGATCTTTAATTTCTTGATCAATGATATGTATTTTCAATGTGTATGTATCTATTTACCTCGTATTAAATTCTATTTATTTTATTCAAATAAAATTATTATATTCAATTTTTTAATTAAATATATATGTAATAACTAATTGAATTATGCTTAAATTTGACCATAAAATTATATTTAAGGTTAAAGTTTTAATACTTTCCTTTGTCATGGGGTCATCTTCCTTACTGAGATTTTACTTGTATTCTTGCTATACTATACAACACGAGTGACGGGTGATGTTGAAGCAGACACAGTTAGTATAAAAAATCTTTCTCAAGCTCAGATACGAACGACTCAATCACATATGCTCAACTGAATATGCAACCATGAAACTGTAAAGTTTGAAACTTCAGTTCCAACCTATCGTACTTGTCAACTTGAATCACCCACCAAAATTTAAGTATTTTAATGATAAGTTTAATTATAAGTTTAATTATGCATTATGTATTAAATTTTTGGGTTCTCACTAATTAAAATTCTAAATTTTTATAAATGAATCAATTTAAATAATATTAAAGAAAAATGTTATAATCAATTGAATAATAGCAACTTTTCATTAAGATTGAATTTGTTAGGTCTGATGAGTCGAAAATATATGTCTCAATCGATTAAATTATGTTCGGATTAACTTAATAATAATCCAATATGGTACGAAAGAGATTAATAATACAAACGCTTAAGAACACAGAATTATATGACTGGTTGGACCGCCGTGAAGCCGCCAACGACCAAGTTTTGACCACTTATATAAGCTGATTCATCGGATGCGAGGAGCAGAGCGGCCTCAGCTACATGGCTAGCCTTCAGCACCACACCCTTCAAGCTTGCCGATGCAGAAACAAGCTCTTCAATCTTACTCCCTTCCATATTCAAAGTCCGGCGAGCCAGCGGCGTTGCCACCCCATGTGGAGGCACACAGTTCACTCTAATCCCATATGCCCCGAGCTCCAAGCTACTCGACCTAACCACCCCCAACACTGCATGCTTCGAGCTTGTGTACGCTATCGACCCTATCCCTCCAACCATCACTGCCACACTCGCCATGCAAATGATCGACCCACGTATGTTTTTCTCCACCATTGCTCGTGCGCTGTGCATGATCTTCCCAACCACCTTTTCATGTAAAACGTTCATAGGTTAAATTATAAGGGTTTATATACCTACTCTCTATTTGTATCATATATATTCTTAAAATTTTAATTGCTGTGTTTAACCAATTTTTGAATGTTAGATTAAGAATGTTTTAGACATAAAATAAAAAATTTGAGAATCTATTAGCAAATTTTAGAGATTATAAAAACCCTACGACTAAAACTTATAATTTAATTACATCGTAACGATTAGCTTAAGATTTTTGGTATATAACATACTCCATGGACGTTGGTTGCAAAAACGTTGTCGAAATTAGAGATGTCAAGCGATAGAATTGAAGCGAGAGAGCTCACGATGCCAGCATTGCTGAAGAGAATGTCGAGGCGGCCATGTTTTTCAACAGTGTAGCTCACCGTTTCTTCAACTTGCTTCTCGTCTCTCACATCACAATGGTGAAAGCTGGCTTGGTCGATGCCGATGGAGGCAGCCACCTTCCTACCCAGTTCGTCGTCGATGTCGGCTACGACAACAAAAGCGTCATTGGCTGCAAATAGTCTCGCCGTCTCCTCGCCGATGCCGCTGGCGGCTCCTGTTATGAGAGCCACCTTCCCATGCGGCCGCCTGCATCAGACATTAGTGTACATAGACAGCCAAAAGCTTGTGAAGATTGTGTGTGAAATCCAAATCTTGATAACATTATTTAATGATAAGTTTTAGAGATTATCAATAGCTTTGTTTTTTAGTTGATCGACCTATAAGGTGAAGATCTGTCCGTCAATAATATATAAATAAATAAATTATTATGTTTTTTTATTATAAAATCTATTTATTTGACTTTTAAATAAAGTTTGTTTTTTTTTTTTATATGGATAAGGACAAAAATATTGAAAGATGTGTATAAAATCAAAATTGTAAATAAAAATGAAAATATTAGTTAAATAATATACCTTTTGTTTTAATTATTTAAGGTCAACTTTATATTTAATGGTGCTATTACTAGTATATAGATTTACAGTAAAGTCACCAAATTTAATTACTTTATTTAATGATATATTTAATTATGCATTAATTTTTTTTTAATAAAAATCAATTTATATGCAATGGCAGGTTTGTAAAAAGAAAAAAATCGTCGGAAAACTCGCGAGAACTCGAGCTACTCGGCAGAGGAGAAATCGCGTCTTATTTATGGCGATTCCCACTTGCTGAAGTATTAATTCTAGGTCACTGTTTCTACCGGAGCTCGTCTTCAAAATCCCACGCGGCCCCTCGAAGCGCAGCCGAAACCCTAAATTCTTCTATGGAATGGCGGAATTGAACGTAAATACACCATTTCTTTCCTCATTCTTAGTTTCTTTCCCGTTTATTGATTCTCTATTTGCTATGGCTTGTTTGGATTTCAACTCCCAATTCTTCTCTGGATTGGTTTGGTTGGTGCAGTTCTTGATATTTAGAAATGTTCTTCCAGTTCGTTCTGTTCTTGAAATGTTATTTGATGATGGTCTATGTTAGATGAAAGTTGAAAGTGTCTCACATGAGTTAATTTAGGGAATGGTCATGAGTTTATAATCTAAGAATACACTCTTCATTGACATGAGTTCTAAAAGGTCAAAGCCCAAAGCAAAGCCACGAGAGCTTATTCTCAAAGTGGACAATATCATACTATTGTGGAGAGTCGTGTTCGTCTAACAGTCTAAATTCAAATATCCATTGCTAGTCTCATGCAGCATTGAATTGTTCAATTGATTTCGTTCCACTGGATCTGATTGTCGTTATTACTACTTCTGAGCCTTTGCTGGCTGAATTCATACAAAATCTTGATGTTGTACGATTTTATCCAAAGGGATCCTCAGAAAATTTAAACATATATGCATAAATCTTCATTGTTACTCTGTTACAATCTAACCCTAGTTTCAAACATTTCTGAATTTCCTGTTTTGGTTGTTTTCAGTTGACAGTCTCCTATGAAGTTCCTCCTCTTTTGCCTCCTGTGGCCACTGTAAGTATTCCAGCCTTTAACCTGGTTTCAGTTCCATTGTTAGCTTAAAATCAATCATGAAATGCATAGCTGAGATAGTCTTATTGTCGTGATGTGTTTCTAGTAAGTCGTAGGATGTTTGCAAATATAGGAACTGCTGCTACCTTTGCTTGAGAGGTTACTTAAATGGAGTCTAGAAAGCCTAGGACTGAGTTATTTGAGTGTCACAATCGCATTCTTACCGAACATTTGTAAGCGATTGTGCGCTACTCACTCTCACTACCGAGTGAGTCAACCAACTTGAAATCTTGTCGTCTACGGTCTAACGATGTATATTCAAGCTTCTAGCCCTACTTAGAGAAGAAGATTTTAGAAAATGGAGTAGGGAGAGATATTAAATAGAGAGTTTGAAACCAAGATTTGAGAGGATTGAAAAAAACAACGTTTATATTGTGAGCAGACCTTCATGAGACTAGCAATGGAATGCTTTCTCTATAATACAGACATTTCAAATCTACCAGCATCAACATGTCTAAAATCAAAATATCCATTGGCAGTCTCATGGAGGGTAGGAATAATAGACAACTAATTGCATCCCCTATAATATAGACATTTCAAGTCTACCATCATATACATAATTTTGCCAAAGTCACACTTAAAAAATACTAAAAGAAAATATACATCATGAAAGCAGTAAAGGAAAACATCAAAGTGATCAGGACAAGGAATTCAAACGAGTAGAGTACCCTCATGTCACTTGCGGGATAAGATTAACCCTTTAATATGTTTACGGAGACCTCTAACTTATTAGAAAAAGGGAGTTTGATCGAAACAAAATTGTTGGTTCAAGGGCAAAGAGGTATCTTCTATTGAAGAAATGGAGAGGGCCATGGAATGAACTGCGTTATTGGGTTGTTTAGGGTACAAAAACTTCCGGTTGTTTAGGGCACAAGAACTTTAACAAGATGGTGTTTACTGAGTTAGTCTTGGTTTCTTATGATAACTCCAATTCGACTCAACAGACATTTGTCCACTGACATATTTGAACACGATCATGTGAAAAAAAATTAATGTACTTCACAAAAATATGCTGGGACCAGCTGGTTTATTTAGTAGGAAGAAAACTTGGTACTTGAAAATTATTTACATTACAATAAATGGGATTGTAGTGCTCGTTTTTACAGGAAGAAGAAGTTACACTCATTGGCATCCACTGTTATCCAACCATCTCTGCAGACTACAAAGAGCCTGCGCAGACAGACTGCAGTATCTCAATTTTCTCTGCTGTGGTAGTGAGGAACCGTCGCCATGAAAACTAGAGAAGCAAACCACCACAACAGTCAGATTATCGAATGAGTCCAATCGCAAAGCACACAGGACGAGCTCTCGAGCACACCGCTCTGGGTCGGCGTGTCGTTGAAGCCCCTGTCGAACTACATTGACCGCTTGTTGGCTCGACATCACGTCCCAAATCCCATCACAAGCTATGATCAAGAACTCATCCTCCTCTGTAAGAACCACCTGCTTGCATTCTGGTTCTGCAATGAGAGGTGAAGGAGAGCCATGTGGGAGCTTCATGTCCCAATCCCCCAACGCCCTTGACACCGATAAAACACCGTTCAGATAGCCACCATCAACATAGCCACCCAGCTCTTCCACCCGTTGCTTCTCCAGCGAATAAATTGGCCGGTGGTCTTGTGACATATCTACTGCCTCTCCATTCCGGCTGAGAACAGCCCGGCAATCTCCAGCATTCGCCACCATTAAATGCCTGAAGAACAGATAATACACCATTAAATGCAATCAGCTATTGATTGTATTGATTGTAGAGGAGTGTTGGGAGGGAGTCCCACATCGGTTACTATCTCTATTGGTACATCTCTATTGGTACGGAGACTTTTTGGGGAAGCCCAAGCCAAACTATTAAAGTAGACAATATTCTACCATGGCGGAAATTCGTGATTACTAACCAACTCTACAAATACAGGGACGAAGGATCATTACATGGGGAAGGAAGAACATACCTTCCAAGCACAAGGGCTGTCAGGGCCGTCGTTCCACACGAATTACTGACACCAGAATCATCAGCTAGAGCTTGATCAGCCAGAAGAAATGCTTTCCGGAGGCAATTTTGTATCTCCTCCGGCAAGACTTCATCGAAATCTGGCATTTGAGGAAAATTGACATCCTCAAAAAAGAGTCTAAGAACATTCTTTCTGATATAAGCTGCTGCTTCAGGACCTCCATGTCCGTCAAACACCTGAAAAACATAGGAACTCCACTCGGATCATGTCCATAGTAAACAAAGACAACCCAAATTCAAAGAACTGAGCTCACCCCATAGAAGGCACTTGGCTTAGGAAACTTAAACAGCGATCCTAAATGTGAAGACAAATCATCTATCCTTATATGTTCATCTTCCATGTATCTCCTCGGTCCAATATCAGCAAAGCTACCCGACCGGAGATTCGGAAATTCCTTATCCTTTGCCTTGTCGGTGTCGGGATCTGGAATTTTCTTCATGGGTTTAATATCCTGAAGATGCAGAAACTAATATCATAAAACTCAAACAAACGCTCAGAATCCAACAACAGATCAATTTTGCACAAAATACAAACAAAGATGAACTCAAAATCATGATTCCAAAGAATCTAAACCCCAAAATCCAAAACCCTTTCCAATTCCAGAACTATCACTATCGCCCCGAAATCGAACCCGATCACCACAAAATCAATTTCGTAACAATCACTGTTACTTTCCCTAACTCAGAGTTGAATTTACCTATACAAAGAAGAAGAAGAAGAACCTACCGATTGTGAACTGGAAGAAACGGGCTCGGAAGCACGAACACGATTGAAAGTCGGATCGATCAAAATACCACCATTAATGGACTCAATTTCCTCAAGACGAGTTTCCTTACTGTAATACGGCACCTCTAGAACCGGGAGGCTCTTCGGACAAACAATAACCTCTGCTTCAGCAACCATTTTTACATTGACCAAAGAATCAGATTCTTCAACAGAGCGATCAGAATCGTTACAACAAGAAGATCGGTATGTATGAATTAGAATTCGGATCGGTTTTTTTTTTTTTTTTTTTTTGTCTGGAAATTTTAGAATGTTGATCGGAAATATTTTTGAAGAAGTCGGCGATGAAGAACAATATATAGTGGAGACGACGCGGGGGAGAGTAAATTCATGGAAGGAGACGGAGCACGTAACGCCGTTATCGGGACTTGTCTACGAAGACACGTTACCGTCTTCGCGTTGACGCGTGGCAGGCTTATTTTCTAAACTCCTGCGAAATTACTGAAATAGCCTTTCCTTTGAATTGCGTTGACTTCGTTTTTCTTTAAAGGGAGAGCGTTAAAGTGACGTAGGATCATGGGTCTGGCAGCTGTAGAGTTTTCTAGCGACTTGTCTCCATGCCCGCCGACGTGGAAATTAAGCTACTTTGTTTTAAAAAAAATATATAAACTTTTAGTTGTTTAGAGTAAATATGTTAGCGAAAAGATAATATAGGTTGATAATTTTTTAAAAATAATAATCCTCTATTAATTATTTAATTAAAATTATCGATAATACTAAATAATAGTGCTTTCTTTTCTTAAATAATAAAATTAATATGGGTTGAGATTACGTAAGCAATTTTTTAAGGAGTGTGCTGGAATTACGTGTCAGAATTGGCCGACCCATCAGATGGTTTCAGACGCGGTTCGAATAAATTGGTGGGTCTATCACCACGTGTCAACAAAAGAGTGGCTCAAATTTCAATAACTTTTCTAATTCCCTTTTTTTTCATCCATTTATACATTTTTTTTAATACCTTCCACTTTTAAAAATAAAATTAAAATATTCTTACCCTTAATATTATATTTAAAATGCATCCACATATTTTACCTTAGAAAAAAAAAAAAATTCTTATCGTTAATTTTAGACGAAAATTATCTATCGACATTTTATAGATTTTTTTTTTCTTTTGGAGTCTTCAAACAAAGTACACTCTTTGTTCAATATTACAAAACATATTTTTTTTTTCTCATTTGGAGTTGGGCCCATGGAGACACGTGGGAAGTACCAGCCTAGCAGTATAGGAGGGGTCAGAGGTCGTTGGGGTGGGAGGGGAGTGTACGATGTACCCGAGTGGTGTGTTTGGCAGCATATTAAAAGTTTGGTATGACAGAGAGTGTAGAGCTCTCATGGCTTTACTCTGTGTTTTCCAAAAGGCCTCACAGCAATGATGGTAGTATTTATAGATTATAAATTCATGATCATTCCTTAAATTAGCTAATGTGGGACTTTCATCCAACAAGATGAAGCAGGTGTGTTGTTTTATGGACATGATAAGATTAAAGAAACTTCTCGTTTTAAAATACATACCAATGGATATTGTCCATTTTGGCATGTTATGTATCACTATTAGTCTTATAATTTTAAAATACATTTAACCATCTTACAATCCACATCCATGGCGGCCAACATCTTCGCTGACACACTATTCGGTGTCTAGTTCTAATACCATTTATAATAATCTAAGCCCATTGTTAGTAGACATTATCAACTTCAATCCATTACATATCGCGGTCAATCTCACAGTTTTAAAATTTTCACATTCTATAAAAATGAGATCTCACATAATATATTTAAGTTAGATTAAAATAAGCATATAGTTTAATGAGATTACATCATAAGCTCGTTAGTTAACATGATCGATGTCATGATAAAGAGTTATTGTGATCCTTTTATTTATTTATTTATTTGTAACATACATCAATTTATCATCGATAAGATTGTGTAATAAACGTAAGAAAATAAAATAAAAATAAAAATAAAAAATAAAAAGTTGATTTTAGAGCATTGCGAGTGGGGGATTAAGTTTGGTTTGGGTGGTCTAATTCAGCAACCCACTCATTAAATAAAATTAATTTTCTTTTCTTTATTATTATTATATTATTTTGATTATTTCTTATATTAATTAAAAGCAATTGATTTTATTTCTCTCATATTTATCCTAATTGATGACATCAATTTCCACAATTTGTACTTTTCTTAATTTTATTTTTCTTTAATTTATTATTATTATTATTATGTGTTTTATTTTTTAGTGAACAGAAATAATAATAATAAATAAATAAATAATTGTTCTAGATAAACGTGGAGGAAACCACAGAGACGTGTGTATTTCCATCAAACACGTGCCACCTTTTACTGTCTCCATCAACTTAAAACACTTTATATTCGTGTGGTTACCAAAAGTTATTTATTTTGTAATATATTTTATTCCAAAATAGTTAAAAAAGAATTGTGAGACACTGATAATGTAACGGACAAAAGTAGACAATATATGTTAGGAATGACTTCTAATTTTGCTCGCTTGGAATCGGGCTCAAATTCTGAGCCCTCTCATATACAAAAAAAAAAAAGAAAAGATAAGAACGTACATTTGCCAGGTCTCCAAGTCAGTCTGCGCTTTTTCGAGTAGAGGTAGCATTTCGGTCTTAAGAAAAGCCGTCCTGCCCGCAAATCAAAGAAACCAACTGAATTAGAAAGAGTCGTTTTTTTTCCAGTCACCCTTTCTTTCACTCTTGAACATAGGAGGCTGGATGAGATTGAACTCTTTCCTTTCATTGATTTTTGATTAATGGAGTAGTCTACCAGAAGCTCAAGCTGTTACAAAATGATATCAAAGCCAGACACCAAACGATGTGTCAACGAAGATGCTGGGTTTCCAAGAAAAGTAAATTGTGATGTTGCTCCTAATGAAGTGAATTGTAATTGAGCTCGGACTGTACGCTGTGCTAGCAAAGATACTGAGTTGTCAAAAGAGATAAATGGTGAGTAGACCAATTATTAATTTATTTTTAATGGATTGACATAAAAACTATATTATCATAAATGGATAGTCTCAAGATATATATATATATATATATATATATATATATAATTGATCTATATTACTTTATTTAATTTTATGAAACTTAGGTTATTTATTTAAATATAAAATAGTGTGATTCTTCTGGTAGATTAAAAATATATTTCGTAATGATTTTGAAATTATTTAAAAATGATTTTAACTATTTTTAAAATAATAAATGGTGGATAATATGAATGAATTTTTTATTGAACATTGGAGTAAGACAATAATTGGTGAAATAGTGAATGAAAAAAGAATCTGACACGTGTTCGAATGTGATTTGGTTGTGTTGGGGACAGTAAAATGATTCTCTCCAACCAACCACACAAATTGATTAATGAAATAGTAAATTTAAAGGAATAATTTAATTGAAATATAATTTATTATTCCATATTGGGCCTTCCAAATTTGGGCCGACAAAACCGGAGTTTTTAAGCCCAGCACCTTGTTAAGTACCCGGGCCTCAATCTAGGCCCAAAACAAAGCATAAACACGTCAACATAGTAAACTAAAATATAATTGCTAAAAATAATTAAAATATCACAAAAATAGAAAAGGAATAAACGGGTTGATCATGGGTTTGTAAGGAATACATCTCTATTGGTATGAGGTCTTTCGAGAAAACCAAAAGTAATGTCATGAGAGTTATTGCTCAAAGAAGACAACATCATACCATTGTAGAGGGTCAGTGGTTCCTAACGCAATACATATTCGATTAAGAAGTTAAAAGTTCAAATCTCTCAGTCAACGTTCCTTTTAGATACGATATCGACGTGGGTTCGAGAAGATATTAGGGTTTAGGCTCGATTTTGAATGCATGCCCACCATGAGTAGTGGGGTAAGGCGTGGCCAAAAATTTGACCCCTAAGTCAAAATTGGCAATTTGGCATTGCCTACTCACAAATTTGTCTTCCTCTTTGCAAATTACATACTTTTTCCCTTTTTCTTCCTTTAAAATATCTCTCTTTTTATTCTTTTCTTTGGGAATCTTTTTTAAACACTCTTTTATCTTTTTATATTCTTTCCCCAAATCCCACCTAAATATTCATGCTTCTCATCTAGTAATTATGTTAATACACTCACACACACAAAAAAAAAAAAAAAAAAAAAAAAAAAAAAAAAAAAAAAAAAAAAAAAAAAAAAAAAAAAAAAAAAAAAAAAAAAAAAAAAAAACATTCTCGTAATCGTCAAAACCTACATCGATTTGCTAAGCTTGTAACTTTATAAGTAGATTATGTTTCGTAAAGTTCTAGAAAAAGAATTTGTAATGAGATGTGTTTAAATCTTATTTTGATTCACGATCTAATTTTTCATTTATTTTAGGAATTTTTTATGTATTTAAACCCTTTTTGTGTTAAAGTCTCACGTCCATTAATTAGAGAACGATCTTGGATATATAAGTAAGGGACATTATTTTTATTGGTGTGAAGTTTTTTGGAAAAATCAAAGCATTACTTATAAGGGTGTGGAAACATCTCCTTAGTAGACGCGTTTTGAAATCATGAAGCTGACAACGACACGTAACGAGTCAAAACAAACAATATTTATTAGTAGTAAGCTCGAGCTATTACGAAAGCCATGAGAGCTTGACAATATCGTATCATTACCGAGACTACCCTAATAGAATATAAATTCAACGTAAAAAGGGAGACAAATTGAATAAAACTTTGGGGCTCTTTTATAAAGTAGAAATAGCTTTTTGTGGTGTGTGTGTGTTAGAGGCATGTGAGGCAGTGTTAGAGAAAGAGAGAGTAAAGAAGATGGATGGAGATGCAGAGGGCACCACCAAGCCTCCACTGCCCTTTGTCATGTCGTTTTACCCCCACTCTCACATACCATGTTTCCACAAACTCAAAAAGACACCCAAACAAAGAAAAAAAAAAAAAATTCAAACTTCATATAAACCCTAAAAAAATCTTCAAAAAAAAAAAAAAATTTGATTCTAAACTTGTCGAGTCGTATCGATTCTAACCCTAAACTTTTAGTTTCATCGGTTTATATTTTGCTTCCCTCTCCAACCGATGTAAGTTCTCACAATCCACCTCCTTTAAGAGTCAGTGTCTTAGTTGGCACATGGCTTGCTGTGATTTGGTTACGATACTATTTGAAACAAATCAAGCCCACCGCTAATAGATATTGTCTGCTTTGGCCTGTCCTCACGGTTTAAAACGACCTTCGATAAATGTTGTAATTATTGGATGAAAGTCCCACATTGGCGAGTTTATAATCAACTAATACTATCTCTATTAGCATGAAGTCTTTTGAGGAAGTCCAAAGTGTCGTCTTGATTTTTTTTCATTAAACAATTATCAAAATTCTCTTATGGGGTTTCTTTTTTTGTTTTGTTTTGCTTTAAAAGCAGGCCTTTCAGCCACTTTCCCACTTGTAGTTGTCTATTACATTCCTTCTGCAATTTTCAAGTATCAAAACCTGTTTGCACCAATTAATAACCTTAAATCCTCACTTTTTAAGCCTAAAGCTGTGACCAAAAACATGTTCTTTTTAGTTCAAAACAGCTTTGAAGCTCTCCAACAACAGCAACAATCAGCATTTTAAGTAGCAGATTCACTGAAAAAAGCTCTTCAAGGCATCTTTGGTTCTTAATATGTGGCTTGAATTACTAGCTCAACCCGAAGAAGAAGAAAAACCCATCTCGTTCGTCGTTTTTAAAATGAGAAAAATTAACGTTCGGGTTAGTAGCCAAAGAGGCCAAGTGATTAGGGTTTCATTAGGGTTTTTATCAAAGTTTCACACTTTTATAAAAAATGTTTCGTTTCTCTCTCCAATGGATGTGGGATCTCAGATACGGAAAGCACTACAACGTATGATTACGTTTCTTAATCTTTTCCGAAAGTTAATTTAAACATGTTACAATAATCATCCTATAATTGACAATGATTTTGGCTTTTATGAGTACTAATGACCTCATAAATAGGCAGGCCTATAAAGCTTGAAACTTTAGGGTTTTGTTTTTGAAAAAAAATATAGAAATTTTGTCAGATTATTGAAACTAGATTTGGGACCAAACTGAGGCATGGTTATGGGAAGAACATGGGAGGCTTATCTCCAATCCCACTGCCCTTTTCTTCTTCCTTTTTCTCAAACACTCAATGCCACTCTCCATTTTGTGTGTTAAAGGTCAATGCCTACATGAATTTGGTCGGTTCCACTGCTCAAATAATCAATCCAAAAGTAATAATTTAAACATCAACCCTTTGATTCACCTTCCACTTTCACTTAAAGTTGTGTTTTTTTCTCATTATATAGCCAAAGATTCAGCCTTTCTTGCTTTGTGTTCATCCCATGTTGAAATACCCTCTTGGGTTCTTGAGAAATCGAAGTAATTTCGTTGAAGAAAGTGTTTTTTGAGTGTTTTGAGACATACCCATCGCAAAAAATGTCTAATTTTGTGTTGTCATTGTCATTTTGGGTTACATTTTTGTGTTGTCTTCTTTGTTCTTCCCAAGCTCGATGGCATCATCATTCCAAGCAAAAACACTCTCACCATCATAAACGTAGCTACATTTCACATCCTCCTACTCCTTCTCCTTCACCGGGCGATGGCGATTACATTAACGAAACGAATATCTTTGACGTGCGAGGCTTTGGTGCTGTCGGCGATGGCGTTGCCGACGACACTGAGGCGTTCAAGATGGCTTGGGATACGGCGTGCCAGAGTGACGACGCTGCAGTCGTGCTCGTTCCTTATGGCTACTCGTTTATGATTCAATCAACAATCTTCACTGGCCCTTGCCATGGTCATCTCATGTTATGGGTTGATGGCACATTGATGCCACCGGATGGCCCTGATGCATGGCCGAGGAATGCTAGTCGCCGGCAGTGGCTGGTGTTTTATAGAATTGATGGGATGTCCTTAGAGGGTGGAGGTGTGGTTGATGGGCGAGGTCAAAAATGGTGGGATCTTCCTTGCAAACCACACAAGGTATTTATTCGATCTTCTTCGATGTTTAAGTACATGTCTCCAACGTCTAACACGAAGATATTTTTAAATTTTAGGGACCAAATGGAACCACGTTACCGGGACCGTGTGACAGCCCAATTGTAAGTTCGTGCTGACCATATGATACTTCTCTATTAAGATCGGTATATGATGAAATTACTTAGGTGTATCACACTGTAATGATTTTAGGCTATAAGGTTCTTCATGAGCTCGAATTTGACTGTCCAAGGACTTAAATTCACAAACAGTCCTCAGTTTCACTTCAGATTCGACGGCTGCAAAAATGTTCATATAGAGTCAATTCATATAAAGTCTCCGGGTCTTAGTCCCAACACGGATGGTATCCACATTGAAAACACAAATGACGTCGGGATATATAATTCAATCATTTACAATGGTAAGTTGGTTGAAACTATATTTTGCTAAGAGAATGAATTATAAATCCTGATTCTACTTATCGTTATGTAGGGGATGATTGTGTATCAATTGGGTCGGGTTCATATGATGTAGATATCAGAAACATCACGTGTGGACCAAGTCATGGAATCAGGTATGGTATAAATTAGTAGTAGTTCAATTAGTTAAAATATTAATAATCTCCCATTCTTAAACCTTATTCTTTCGACCTAGTATCGGAAGTCTCGGTGTTCGCAACTCGAGAGCCTGTGTTACAAACATAACGGTCAGGGACTCGGTGATCAAAGACTCAGACAACGGTGTTCGGATCAAGACATGGCAAGGTGGCTACGGAGCCGTAAGAGGAATAACATTTAGCAACATTCACATGGACAACGTTAGGAATCCCATCATTATCGACCAATTTTACTGTCTAACCAAAGATTGCACCAATCAAACCTCAGCTGTTTCAATATCAGACATTGAATACACAAACATCAAAGGAACATACGACATTCGAAGCTCGCCTATGCACCTTGCCTGCAGCGACGCCGTCCCGTGTACCAACCTAACGTTGTCGGAGATCGAGCTCCTTCCTGCTCAAGGAGATATAGTGTTGGACCCTTTTTGTTGGAATGCTTATGGAGATCTTCAAACACTTACTATTCCCCCTGTCTCATGCTTGCAAGAGGGGCTTCCTTCTTCTATCAAATTAAACAATGACAATGAGTATTGTTGATCCTTACCACAACATACAATCATATGTACATAAAATAATCAGAGGAATGTAGCTCGTTCAAATTTATATGTCATGTCACACGATACCACAAAACAAAACAACTCCTATCAAGTAGTTGATTTATAGCTACGTTATATCATGATATCTATCGACTTTGAGTTAAAGATGTACTCGAACGTTAATCGCACTCCGAGTATATGCACAAAAAATTGCACTCACCCACCTAACATGTCTCCTTTTTGTTCTTTTCAAAATGGCATGCATTCATGATGGTGTTATCCTTTTCCCAAAACAATGATCTTAACTTTTTGATGAGTGGATTGGGTCTATTATTTCCATTTCTTCAACTCGATTTTTACTTATTGTTTAAGCGTGATGGTAGGTTCGTTGAGTTGAGAAAATGACTTTTCTTCATTCCCGTTTTTCCAAATTCTTGGGATTGATAGAAACATATTAGGTAGGATAGGTTTTCTCGACGTATAAAAAATTGAGTTCAACAAATAGGGGATGAAATTCGAGAATCTCTGACCACTTACTCGAGGTCATATGCTTTAACCCATTGAGTCATACTCGAGCTAATGATATTTTCTTATAATTCTCTAGAAACATATATTATAAAAATTAAATAAAAAGGGAAAAAGTGAGATTTAAGTGGAAGGTGGTGGGCTCATTTGGTGTGGCTGTTCTGTAGCACGCGCGACCATCAACAAACAAACCAATGTCCCAAAGTTTGGCACGTCGGTGCACACACTCGACCACCCACCCGACTCGGGTTAGGTTAATCCAAATATAACTCAATTAATTAAATAATATATTTTTTAAATAACATGCCACGTCATCTATCATTTATATATTTGGGCCAAGCCCAACCTTATGCCTGAACGTCCCTTTTTTATCATGGGCCTTTACGCGGACCTTTTCAATATTTTCGGCCCATAAAGCCCATTACTAGAAAAATCATTATTATATTTAAAAAAATGATTTTTTAAATAGAACAAAATTACTTTTTCAGATTTAATCCATTGAAAGAGATATTTTGTGCTTTGATGTGTTTTTTTTATTAATTAAAAAATTATATCTTTAAAGAGAAATGTGTATAAAACACGGTAATAAAAGATAACCTTTCTAGTTCTAACCACTTTTGAAAATTAATTCAAAATAATAATGATTTTTTTTTTCATAATTAATAAATACAATTATTATTTAAAATTACACTAAAATAGTCCCCCCTTAATTTTCAATTTAATTTTGGCCTTTAAATATTTTCCAAGAATTAATAAAATTGGCGAAAATGATTTGTGTCCGGACAACAATAAATGCAAGAAAATTGGAAACATAATAATTATGTCTCAATTTCCTCCTAATTTCTGCAAATTTTATCATTACATTTTGAAACTTTTAAATTGACAACAAAATAAAATTAAAATAAACAGTAAATCATTTGAAAGATTGACCATTCAATTTTTACTTTACAGTTGTAGGATTCCATAAAGGAAAAAAAAGCTCGAGCGATATAAAAAAATAATATTATTATTAATTACGAGTGTGAAATGAAAAATTTGAATCTCTATTCTAATAATAGAAAAATATACCTTAGAATAAAATTATTTAAAAAATAAAATTTAAAATAAATATCGTAAAGCTCGATTATTACCATATATTAAAAGATATAATAAAATAAAAAGATGAGGAAACGTGACAAATGACTGTAATTTACACGTCTAATAAAGGTATATTTATAAATTAGGTAGGATGATTGTGACTTACAAGTCTATGGAAGTCTTATTATTATTTTTAATTATTTTAATTATTATATTACAATACTGTCCCCTTCAAAGAATTTTTCACAAAGTCCACGTATTTAATTAACTACAAATTGACATATAATTCATATGTTTTTTTTTTTAACAAGTTAAATATTACGAAAATATAATTGATTTTAATTGACTCCGAAGTCTAAGCTTTAAAGTCTTATTTTCAAATATTTACAAATAAATATTAGGATATATGTATTGGAAAAAGTTGTTGAAAATCTTTAAGGATAAAAATATTTATTTTTTATTTTTTTAATTTTAAGATATTAATGAAGTTTCTATGTATTTTTTTAAATAAATTATCAATTATTTTCATAAAAAAAAACCAAAAAATAGAATAATATTAATTTAAAGTATAAAATAAAATAAAATAAAATTAAAATAAAATAATAACTTGGAAAAAATTATTGTGGGCCTGAACGTGTAATGCCACTACACCTACAATGACGTCATTATGACAGCGTCAGCAAGCTTTGTAAGTAAGCTCTACACAGTTTTAGTAAGCCACGTCAGCAAGCCTACGAGATATAATGACTTCAGCGACTCGGAAATTACCTGAACACCCTCAAACTCCACCGCTAGTTGGAGGGCATTTTCGTCTTTCAATTCCACTTCCAAGTTTCCACTCCTTATATAGCCCGGCCAGTTCAACCGGTTTTGTATTTATATTTTTAAACGGAAATTCAAGAGGTTTTTTTGGTTTACGCGGTGATGGAAAACCAGAAGCGGCAGCCGCCGCGGGAGACAATCGCCGAGGAGGAGGAGGAGGAGGTGGAGATGGAGAAGTTTTATGCTCTGGTGAGAAATTTCAAGGAAATACGTGATCGGTGGAGGAAGGAGGTGGTGAACGGCGAGGGCGATGAAACGGCGGCGGAGAAAACGAGGAAGAGAATGAAGACGACGGAAACGGTGCAGAATCAGTCGAGTTGGATTTTGAGGTTCGAGAGAGAGGATTTCGATGAGGATTTACAGGTCGGAGGAGCGGCTGTGGAGCTTCCGAAGCATTGTTGTCTTGTTAAAGAAGACACTCCGGTGGCGGCGGCGCCGCTGAAGAAGGAAAAGAAAGTGGCGAGTGGAGTTGATTGTTTGGATCTTAATTTATCACTCTAGAACTTATTTGTGTTAAGGATATTTAGTAATAAACTATAGTTTACCATATATATTATATTTGATATTTTATTATAAGGTAAATATCTAATATTTACTTTAATATCCTATGTATCTTTTCATTTATTACTGTTTCCATAGAGTTGTAATTCATTTGATTATAAATAAGATAACTTTCACACCATTTAAGTGGGGTGGATTAATCAAACATTCACAAGTTCAAATAGGTTTAATTTCGTGTTATCATTCACGTGCATCACAAGAAAAAATATGTTTTTTTTTCGGTAGAGATAGATATGTTCGAACAACACTAATTTATTTCTCGAGTCTTTCACTCATTTAGCTTGGTGAAAAAAATCTCACTGTAAAATTGAACTAGCAACTCCTCGACCCGAAATCTAAATCAGCGAGGCCAATTCATACTCGACAATGACACGAATAGTAGGAGTCAACAAAACAACTCAAAATTTTGATTTATTCTCTTAGCTTCTTTGCATATGATCGACTCATATGGAAACAATTTTGTGGTGGTATAGGCAAGACTTTCATGTTCTTTTAAATGTTGTTATTTTATGTTCAAAAATATTCTTATTTGAATATGGTCTCGATTCATTTATATATTATTGTGTAACATGGTCTCACTTTTTTTTTTAGTTTATCTAATAAATTATTAAATTTCTAAAAATATATAACAAATTATAAAATTTTTATTTCAGTAAAGCTTTAATTTTATGTCTAATATATTATATATATATTTTTTTTGTGAAAGTAATATATTAATTATGAATTTGTTATTATAATTTCTAAAACTAATTTAGATGCCAAGATACTAAGGAAAGCTATACATATGGGTTGTGTCGGAAAGTTTTATTTAGCTTCATAAAGATGTGACACGACGCTAGGTTCTAAATCCATACCTAACTTAAATCGGATTGGGTTCTAAAAAAAACCAAACCTAACCTTAAATACTATTTAATCCAATATAATCATTATAATTCGAGTTAGGTTCGGTCCGGGTTCTCGGGTTGAGTGTACACCGCTATAATTACATGGGGGGACAAAAATGTCTTTTCACCATGTTTCAACCTTGCCCTATGGGCCTTTGGTGACCATGAAGAGTTCAAGTAAATGGGCTTTTGCTTTCTAGAAAATGGACAAAAACACAAAAAATTCCCCAACGTGAACTACGAGGCTTCCGATCAGCTCGACACTCTGCTCCGTCTCTGATTCTGGCATACAACTTTCCATGGCGGCAACCACGACCAAGCCCACCGCTCTTCTCCTTCCTTTCCCTTCTCCTCTTCCAAAACTTCCTCACTTCGCTTCTTCTTCCTTCACTCCAAACTTCGCCGTCAGATTCTCTCAGTTCAACCTCGTCTACAAGCCTTCCAATCGCCGAATCCTTCCTTTAGTCAAGGCCCAAGCCTCTCTCGGTATCCATCACTCGCCTCGCATTTTATATATTGTGCTTACAAACGGATTTTGGATCTTCAGCTTCTCAATTTTTAATATGCGGTTTTCTTTTCTTTGTAGATTATGTGCCTGATTTCAAATTTTACAAAGTGGAGGCGATCCTCAGGTACGGATAGGCTCCATGGTGTTCTCTTTTGCTACATTTGGAGTTTGTGAATGTAGATTTTGTCATTTTCTTTAGTTTATAATTTGGATTTATCTTTTGAAGATTTTGAGTAATCTTGCTGAGTTTGTTGCATCTGATACATATTTATCTGTGTGCTATGTTGGTGTATATGGACGAGATAGGCCGTGGAGAATCCAAAATGTTTCGTCGGTAAGATCTGGTTAACCTTGAACACGGTCATTCGTAATTTCCATTTGGAATATGCAAAATCTCGTTTGGTTTTATTGTCGAATATGAAATAGTTGTGTAATGCACTGAACGGATGGTCGATATGGTAAAATTAGGGCACCTGAGACTACGGGGGAACAGAATTATGTACACTTTGAATTTTTTGGCATCATAGGAAGCGTAGTTTAGGATCATAATATTGAGGCTATCGAGGGAGGGAAAACTACCAGTTGATATCATACTTGCATTTAATTGGTTGCATACCACCAATTGTGTAATGCAATGAACGGTTGGTGCTCGTCCAGAATGCTAACATTAGCGACTCATGTCATGTTAAGAACTTCTTAACCTTTAACCTATCTTACCTGACAAAGATGTATACATTTTATGTGCTTTAATGATAGCCAAAGAATGGAGATTATGCAGATTTTTGTTGTTTAAATATCCTATTTTGCAAAGCACTTGCATTAAGTTGTTCTATTGTTTCTTTGGGAGAAAAAAATAAAGGCATTGCTGAAAATGGGTATTCGAGGTGTCACGGTATCTGAAGTGAAGGGCTTTGGTTCTCAAGGTGGATCCACAGAGAGGCATGGTGGTAAGTTTTTCTTTCATGATTCTCTCTGTCTTGGTGCATGGTGAGGGGAATCTATTTGTACATGTGAGCCTGTTTCTAGATTCTCGTGTCATTTCCGATTAGTCATTCCTGATGTTTGCTCATGATTCCAAATAACTTTATTCTCTTTCATTTACTGTTTAGGGTCTGAATTCTCTGAAGACAACTTTGTTGCTAAAGTTAAGATGGAAATTGTGGTCGTTAAAGAACAGGTAAAATAATTTTTGCACGTATATATTGTGCCAACTACTGCATTAGAATCCATGGGTATTATGATTGAATTTAAGTATCCTTTTATCAGGTTGAAGCTGTCATAGACAAGATAATTGAGGAGGCAAGAACTGGCGAAATTGGTGATGGCAAAATTTTTGGTAAAACATTAACTTTATTTTTGTTAATGGCTCAGCTCCTTATCTGCTTATGTCGTAATTGTTTGCTTAATTTATATTCTTTGAATCTACTGTCCTGTTTGTTGAGCGGTTCATTTGCGTTGTCTTTTTATTTCACTTGTTTGATTTCTTTTTTCATGCATTACCATTGACACTAGTTTCTTATGTTAACTGGATTAGCACCTTATGTGTTAATTATTAGTAACCAACTAAAAAAAAAAAATGGTAAGTTTTCGTGATGCAATGTGAGATAAATTGTTTTGTTTTATAAGTTTAGTGATAAAGAATCACTACAAGGGAAGGGAAGGAAAGTAAGATTCGAATTACCTTGTTGATTGAATATCTCAAGGCAAAAACACTTGTTTGAGATTCGAATTACTCCACCAGCAAGATGGATCATGTCTAGCTTGAATGATTATAAACATGCAATCTAAACTATATAGAATTGTAAAAAAACTTGGTCCTTATTTTGGCATAAATGCTATTTTTACTACATTTTCCAAGTCTCTTTACAAAGATAACAAACGTGACTTTATATAGTCTCAAAATGAAAACACTTAACCTTTCCTGAGACATTTCTAGAGTGGTAACTTTCATACTTTATAACCATAATTAAGCATTAGGTAAATTTTATTAAAGTAAATAAAAGTCTTAAACACAATAACTCTAGATTACCATCCACCCAAAATTGTAACCATCTAAGAATAATTCAAACTTGATAAATGCTATACTAGAGTTTGCTAGAGTTGATTTTAAGACGAAGCACATGGACTTTACTAGAGTTCATCATTTAAGTTATCATGCCCTATGCTTGCATGCTGGAGCACGTATCTAAATGCAACACACATGGAAGAAAAACGAATCTTGGAATTAATTTTTCTTTATTTAATGAACCCTTTTAGACTCCTATCGAACTTCTGACACATTTTTCATCTTCACACAGTGATACCAATCTCAGACGTGATAAGAGTTCGTACAGGTAACTTGTTAGCTTTGGTCAACTATCAAAATTTCAAGTTGCCTCTATGAAACTTAAAAGACATTAAGATTATTTCATATCACATTGGTATATATCACAGGAGAACGTGGAGAAAGAGCGGAGAGGATGACTGGAGGGCGATCCGACATGGCTGTTGATCGAGTATGACAATAAGGAGAAAATCCTTGCAGATGAAGATGTTTAGAGTTTGAATCATGTTTCCATGATCTTGCCGATGCCTTCCTCAGTCCTGTGGAGAGGAGAAATAAAATAAATTGTAAGTTATAAGTCAGGTAAGTCACTGCCTCTTGTAGTCATAAAATTGAACCATATTCGGCAATAATCAATGCCCAAGTTACTGCACCATTTCCTAATGTACCACTGATTTTATGTTAAACGCTACTAAATAATTTTGTAACTCAATAATTTTGTAACGGCCCTAACAATCCATCTCCCTTCGAAACTTAGCGACCTCGCTGACACTTGTTTCTTTCCCCAATCGATATGGGATCTCACTAACTTTTGTTTTAAATTTTCCATATGCGGGTGTATTTCATGTAAAATACTTGTTTCATGGTTTTTAGTTCTAACAATGGCAAGAGCGGAGTTGACCCATTATCGATTTTTAAAATGGTAATAGGTGCCTTTCTTCATCTTTTTCCATTACATTCGTTCACTTTTTATGTTATCATCCTTTTTTGTGTATGTTATTTATCGTTTTATATTTAATTAAACATACCTATGAATCACACTCAAATTTATACGACTTATTATAAAATGATTGTGAGTATATAACTTCAAATTAAATTGGGGAGTGTTCCATTAGAATGGAAGTTTTATAAAATATAAAATGATCAAAATATCCTCGAATCAACCCTCTTGGATCTCTCCGCTTTCACTTTCACAGCTACCGACCATACCGCTATCGTTGGTGTGAATGTTTGATTAATCCACCCCATCTAAGTGGTGTGAAAGAAGGATATGGAAATAGTAATAAATGGAAGTAACTATTATAATAAGGCAAATATTATTTGCCTTATAATAAAATATCAAATATAATATATATGGTAAACTATAATTTATTACTAAATATCTTTAACACCCCACCGCAAGCTAAGCGTCGGATTTAAACGAACGTGAAGCTTGAATCTGAAAAATTCAAAGAGGTTGAGAAACACTTTTCATGAAGATGCTAACAACCCGGTTCTTGGCCATCAAAAATTTGCAGAGGGATCGCCGCTCAGCGGCGATGCTGCCTTGGCTTCGGCGAGAATATGTCTAACCCATGAAGAGGGATTGTCGCTTAGTGACGATGCTACCTTGGCTCTGGTGAGAATATTTCTAACCCCAAGAAGTAGAAGGGGAAACCTAGAGCAAGGGACAAAGACAATGTTGAAGCCGGAAGAGTCGCCACATTGGGCGAAGGAACCAATTTTGGCGAGAAGGGCAGTCGGAAGAGTCGCCTCATCAGGCGAAGAAACCAATTTTGGCAGGAAGGACGGCGGCAACTTGGTTGGCGAATAGGCCAGTGCGGCACCCAGATTCCGAAGGTAAATCTCTGCAAAAAATGAGAGAGACTATATTGGCCAAGGGAAAAACCGATTGGGTTGGAAAAGGTGAGGTTGTATGTACAGAGTAGGACTAAAGGTGATTTGGAGGTCAATAGGGTGGAGCCGAAGAGTAATCAATCAGCTCCAACTACGGCAGCCATGAAGACTGCCCCTGCGACGTCAAAACCAGCAGGGGTGGTGGAGAAGAAGATTAAAGGATTCAAAAGCCATTGAAAAGAAAGGATCGGGGTTGTTAAACCGAGAGGGCTCTGATACCATGTGAATGTTTGATTAATCCACCCCATCTAAGTGATGTGAAAGAAGGATATGAAAATAGTAATAAATGGAAGTAACTATTATAATAAGGCAAATATTATTTGTCTTATAATAAAATATCAAATATAATATATATGGTAAACTATAATTTATTACTAAATATCTTTAACCGTTGACAACGTTTCTTTTTAATTTTTTTAATTTTTTATTTAGGGGAATCCAAACAAACTCCTAATTTTTTTTCCAACATAAGTATTTGGGAATGGATCAATACTATCCCGATTACGGATAAAGAAGCCGACCCAAGATTCGAATTTTTTCTCCCAAACACCACTTACAGTTTAAGCAACGTCATAACGGCGTCATTGAACCACAAGAACCGTGCAAACGAACGTTTTCTCACGTCGTGACAATATTCATTTTTATTGATTTTTTTTAATATTTTAAATAAAGTATATTTTAATTTTATAAAAATAAGAGCCCCATAAATCACGAATGCGCGATTGATTGCGAAGGACAGCTTCTCTCGTGTGCAGGAGAGAGAGAGATCTATCGTTCTATCGTTCTATCGTTCTATTTGGGGCCGTTCTCTCTAATCCGCTTTCTTCAAGTCCCGTAAGTTTTTCATTCAATTGCTTCTCTCATTTCTCTCCAAGATCTCCCCACAATCCTGTGGATTTTACCCTTAATTTTGATTCATTCTGCTTGGATCTGTCCTCCTGGTGATTCCCTCTTTTTTCCCTCTTTGATCTTCGGTTTATCTTGGAATTGATTGTTCTTTCATGGGTTTTGATTAATTTGAATTCTCTGATCTGGATCTGATCTGACCCTTCTTTGCTTTGGATTGCGTTCGGCATGTTTATACTCGGATTTGCGTTGATGCATGTGTTTACTTTTGTGGGATGATTGTGTTTCCATTGTACTGGATCGGGCGGTCTTATTGGGGATCTTTTTTTTAATGCTTTTATTGTGCTATGTCGATTACTTGGTTTTGGCTTGAATTGTGGATGAAAATGGCGTTATGGTCTTGTTCGTTGTTTCATTTTGAATCTAGGGTATTCAATCTTTGAATCAAAATACCGGATCCTCCTCTCTTTTGGGTTTTATTTACATTTTTGGCTGATTTAAGTATCGGATGCCGTTGTATTTTAAGGGAGGATTGTTCTGGTTTATTTTACTGATGCAGGCTTGTTGTATTTGTTTTCAGTTTACTTGAAAAATGGGGCTGTCTTTCACCAAGCTTTTCAGCCGGCTCTTTGCCAAGAAGGAGATGCGAATTCTCATGGTGGGTCTTGACGCAGCTGGTAAGACAACGATCCTTTACAAGCTCAAGCTGGGAGAAATTGTCACCACCATTCCTACCATTGGTAAGTCGTTGTATCATATCCAACTATTGAATTTATGTATTAGCAAATGGCGGCATTGATGCTTTCTGTTTGCAACAATTTGACGCTTTGTGTCTTGATTGTATCGATGAACATGTTTGTTTAACTTGACAGTTCCCTGTTTGTTTGCACCATCATGTTTATCATCACAAAAAATCTGAGTTGTTATAATGAATTGTTGTTTTATCTATGCGTAGTTGAATTTACAATGGATCTCTGGCTAATTAATCTAATTAAGAATCTAGGATCTGTAAGGGCTTGTGCTTTCATCTCTGATTTTTTTAATATTGGCTGGTTAGAGGCTATGAGTGAACCATACAATCATAACTTTCTGTCATAGTTGCACGAGATTCCCGAAATGTTGCCAAAGTGGGCTGATTGAAACAGTGATCTATTCATAGGCTAACTGACTTGCATATGAGTGTGCAGGTTTTAATGTTGAGACTGTGGAATACAAGAACATCAGCTTCACCGTCTGGGATGTTGGGGGTCAAGACAAGGTACATTGATTGGTCCTATTCTGTAATGTTGGCTTTCTACTTTCTCTGTTCGATCATTCGAGGTGCTAAACTTCTGACAGTGTTTTTTTGAATCAAATGATAATGTTGCTGTCGTTGTACAGAGTTCCTATTTGTAACATGATAGATGCTTGTTCTTAAGCTGTCAATGTTGATCGATAGATGTTAATATCTGGCGTCTTATATGCCCTTATACTTTTCCGTTGTATTACCTGGCTTTTAGTCACAAGTATAGATTTTACAAGTGAACCCCTCTAAACTTCTGAACTTTCTTAGGAGTGTTGAGTTATAATTTTCTATGTAACGTGTATATAATTTGATACTCGTGCTTCCACAGACTCATAGGTGCTAGCCAATCATCTAGCACATGGGTAATACTAGCTTTTCTCTCTTTGTTCTCTCCACTGATTTGATGTCTGTTTTGTTCCTAGATCCGACCATTGTGGAGGCATTATTTCCAAAACACCCAAGGACTTATTTTTGTGGTGGATAGCAATGACAGGGACCGTGTTGTTGAAGCTAGGGATGAGCTGCACAGAATGTTGAATGAGGTACTCATAATAAAGACCGATTATCAGATCCCGATAGCCTTTGCATATGCTACAGGAAACAGTTGTTTCATTCTAGTTTATTGTCTAAATGATTACATGCGTTGCACTTACAGGATGAGCTGAGGGATGCAGTGCTTTTGGTATTTGCCAACAAGCAAGATCTTCCCAATGCCATGAATGCTGCTGAGATCACCGATAAGCTTGGTCTTCACTCCCTCCGACAACGTCACTGGTACATTTGATGATCATCAAACTCTAAACACTTGCAATGGCTTAAACATTAAGGTAGTAATACAATGTCTTGAAATCCCGTTTCAGGTACATCCAGAGCACATGTGCCACATCCGGTGAAGGGTTGTATGAAGGACTTGACTGGCTCTCAAACAATATTGCCAACAAGGTAAAACATAACAATGTTCTGTGTTTAATTAAATGCACGCGTCTACTACAGTACGTGGTAGAAGACCTATCTTTTCACTCTGGGATTTTGAATCTTAATAATTTTCACTGTCTAGTTTTATTTTGTCTCGGGATAACATAATCTGAACTCTCGAGCTCATAATAGTATCAGTTTTGCCTTTATTTCTAAAACTCTAAAACGCATAATCTTACTGAAAAGGAACTGTATTGAAAAGGACAGCAAGATTGCTTGTTTCAATCGGGTTAGTCGGGCTTGTAGTGTACAAAATTGACTAGCTTCTGGTTCAAGTTCATCGACTCGATAATATGATTGCGTTATTTGTTGTGATTTGCAGGGATAGATGGGTTTCATTTGAGGTGGGATTGCTTCTGGAAATTCAAATGAAAGTCATTTTTGTTGCAGTCCCTGTGATCTATAAGGATGTTCCCAGTGGATGATTCCTAGGTTGGGTTTGAATTCTGAATAATGAAAGAAATTTTTGAAGTATTTTGTGGTGTTATCGACTCAATAGCATTGTTTTTATGTAATGAATTAATGATGCTTCTTAAATAGATGGATGTATTTGTACGAGAATCATGTTTGCTTTTTGAAATGGATTGCTGAAAAGAAATCACCTTGTAACTTTATTGGATTACATCAATGGCCTTGTATCTCGTTCCTATCTCCATCCCCAAAACCTTACCTTGGATTCGATTAGGTTGTAGTACAAACTTAACCACCATTCCCCAACTCGATCGATCGAATAAACCTTTTGTCCAACTCGATCGAAGAAACCTTTGATCTCTAGTGGAACTTTTTGATCTTCTTGACTAGATGGGGGATTAGATGCTAAATGTGTTGGTTTTATCTGGCATTTGATTGCATGGGCTCACCGTGCACTTGTATGGTCACGGTCACGAACACATGGTTCAGTTTGATTTTTAAACCCAAACCGGTAGTGAACACTATGTTGCCATAAGAACTTGTTCAAACCTTTATCTTTGTTACACAAACACTAAAAAGAAAACCCATAGGGCGATTTCAATCAACTCAAAGAATGAACTTAGATCCGAATCCTCTAAATAATACTTCTAACACATACAAGACTAAAACTATAACGATTGCTGGAATGATAATAATTATCATCCTCATCCAACTACGCATCAACAATGTATGAAAGTGAGCACAAGATTGATAGTTAAACGTTCTTAAAAAAACCAACTTCAACTATATGTCATCGTTTTCCCTTACCCTCGAGGAATGTTGTAGAGCCATTTTTGAACCACCGAAACTAACACTAATGGCTTCAAACTCATCCATATCTATATTAGAAAGGGATATATATCTTTTCTTTTTTTTTTTCCTTTTGAATTTGGGTTGACCTATACCCATAACTAAAGTAGCCTAACAAAACAACAAATCAAATCAATTTTATGGTGTTATTGATTAGGGTTAGGTCAATAAAAATTGGATTTTTATTTGAATCAAATCTCAAACCTTCACTCAACTCAATCCATTGGTTGGATCCAATCATAATGGGAGAACCTTCTAATTTGACTATCAAAATTAAATCCCAAGTTTTAATATACATTAAATTAATAATAATAATAGTGGAGCAAATTCAATTATTTATATTTTCTACCCATAGAGAATATAGAATATGATGCAATATAAAAAATTAAATAAATTTTAACCCAGCCTTAATTCTCACACTAACAGCTATGAAATTCCCTTTGTTTATAACATTCTTGTTTGTTAAAGATGAACATACAAAAGGTTTCAAACTTTAGACCAATTTTAAAGTAAAATACATGTTAAAGAATTGTTTTTTAAGTTTCAAATGTAGTCTACGATTCCAAAACCATTTTCAAAAAGAAGATTAAAAGAATTTATTCGTATAAACATGTTTAGCATTTTTTTTTTTAAAAAAAAACAAAAATAAAATGTAACGATCAACGTTGAAGTTCCTATGATTGAGCTACCAAATCCTCACGATCGCTTTCATCTGAATGTGGTCTTGGTTCATTCATGTACCTTCTAATTATCAACAAGGATTTGTTCAAAACCCACGTATATCTTGAGCCTATTTCACTAAATCCAAAATGACTCCTAACATTAACCCTCACTCTCAAGTCGTGAATATGATCTTCTTGCTTCATGTTCGACTTAGCCCTTGACCTATTTGGTAGGTTCTAAAACGACCCATATAATCAAAAACAAAACTTTGATTAAAGGATAATGGTAAGATTAAAAGTGTTTAATGGAAAGATGTGATTATAAAAAGTGGGTCACACTCACTTATAAGTGCCACTGAATTTAGACCCTTCTCTTTGTTTATCTTCCCAATTGGGAGTCCTAACAGCTAAAATGCCCACAATTTGTTGCATAGTATATGATTCAAAGAATGTTAGGCCCTTCTTATTAATATTTTATTATTTCAACATTTTGACTTTGACCTTACCTAATCTATTCTCCCTTCTTCTTAATTAACAAATATTTATACCTTTGTTCTTCGGTGCTTCTTCATCGTTGTTATAATAACTGATCTCAGTTATAATTTTTTCGATCATTTGTGTCAAGTTGTAATGATCCATACTCATAATTTACGTTACTTACTCCTTCTAAGAGTGAACACTATTCTCACAGATGAACACGAGTCTATATAAGTATTCTCTTATCTAGATGTAGTTTCGATTCATTTATGTGTCTCTTTTTTATTTGGGTATCACACAAAAGATCTTATCTAATAACAATTTTGTTCAATCTTCCATAATTTTTTTTATTCTTATTCCATTTTGTTCGAGAAATTTCCCTTCAAGTATTGTAAACTATATAACATACCACAAAGATCGCCCTCATTTGGTGCGATGAATGACGAACAAAAAAAAAAAAATGGAAATGATGAATTGTCACTTTCACTTTCTTTTTTGAACTTTTTTTTTTCCCTTTCCCAAATTAAAACCCTTTGGAATTCTTGTGTCATTATTGAACATAACAAAATAAGAGGGTTCCAACAAAAATCTTGATTGAAATCATGGGAATTTATGACTTTTCTTTTCTTTTTTCGGAAAAACAAAATCAATGTCGTATCTAACAAATCAATCATCGAAGAACTTAAAAAAAAAAAAAAAAAATTTACTTCTAATGTTTTTTTCACTAAATTCTTACCGATTTAAGGGTTAAGATTGACGTTTATGTAAGTTTAAGGTGCAATTTGAAGCGTTGAAATGGGTACTAACTCGATAAAAGTTGATATCAAATTTGAGTTTTTGGTTGTTTTAATGTGTTGTATTGATGATAGGTGTAAGGGTGTAAGAAGATGATGGAAACAAAAAAGGGAGAGTTTGAAGAAGACAGCTTCAAATAAGGTGAGTTTACAGCATTGAAACGCAACTTTGGGCGGTTTTGGCTAAGAGATTTGGTTCTTAAATCATTCAAACATCTCTTCTTTCTTTGTCTAATGATAACTTTTCCAAATCAACGTGGCAGTTTATAATGCATTCATTTCAATTATCTTTATCAATCCAATCTAATCCAAGCAACACTTTTTAAAATTACACGTTAGATGGTGATACACAACGAGCCAAAATGAATAATATTTGCTATTAGAGCCAAACACCAGACAACGTTGACCCTCTTTGAATTGTGAGATCCCACATTTGTTAGAGAGGAAAACGAAACATTTCTTATAAAAGCATGAAAATCTCTCCCTAATAGACACGTTTTAAAACCGTGAGGTTGATGACAATATATAACGAGCCAAATTTGTTAGTGAGATGTTACACTTTTTTTAAGCAAAAGTTAGAAATAGCATCTATGGCCAATTGAGATAAAGTTTCGTCTTTTTCATTGAATACGGTCCTAGAAATACATGATAAACACATGCAACCACAATTAGTAACTTTGGTGAACTTTTTTTTTTTCACGAGCCTCTTTTATATAGGTATAAACATGAAAGGGTATCTTTCAAATTTAAAGAGACAATGATTCTCTTTACAAAATTCACCCGAATGTGTAACCCTAATTTAAAGCAGTCGAATATATCCATATAATAATGTAAGAAAGATTTGAAACATGAATACTATCTGTTTAATTGAGACCGACCGATATCTAATTTACTTCTAAACTTTGCCAACTTAGAACGGAATCTACAAAAGCTAATCAATTAGATGCATAGCTACATGAAAGAAACCTAACCCTAAGTGTCGGTTCTACCATAATAGCCTTTTTGTTGAGTTAATAGTAATTACCTAAACAAGGCTGCTATGATAGTTCTAAATTCTTTTCTTTCATTTCAACATTTCAAATCATATCAAGATTTAAAGGGCTGTCGTTATTCGTTTTGTAACAGTTAAGTTCAATGTTAGTTAATATTGTCTAAATTGAGCTTTTCCTTTCGAGCTTCCTCTCAAAGTTTTTAAAACGCGTCTACTCGAGAGAGGTTTCCAACATCTTTATAAGGAATGTTTCGTCATCTTCCCCAACTGATGTTTTGAAATCAATTCAACTATAGTTTAATGGATAAGACACCAATTTCGGAAGATAGTTAATTGATTTTTTTAAGAAAAAAAACATTACCGTATATGTCAATTACCATTAAGTCAAGCATAGTTCGGTAATTGAAACAACTTAAAATGTATTTTTTTTATTTAATGTAATTTAAAAAAAAAAAAACTAAATTATATAGTAAAAAATAAATATATATTCGTACATAAACGTTTAAAATTAAGGAAGCGTGTGTGAGGTGGCACCCATTAATTATTATATTTTATTTTTATAACAATATTCTAATTTTGGTCCATCATTTCCACATTCACATTAAACTAATAAGGGAATTTAAATTAAAGGGTTAAATGTGGAATTATTTTAAATTAATGGGTCACTAAAAAATTATTCTTTTTCCATCTTCAATACAATTTGGATATTTCTAACTATTATTCAATTATTAATTAATTTCAAATTTTGAAAAATCTAATATTTAATGATTTTGTAATAGCTCACGATGGTTAATAGATATTGTCCACTTTGATCTATTATGTATCGTTGTCAGCCTCACGATTTTAAAATGCGTCTACTAGAGAGAGGTTTTTATATTTTCATAAACAATGTTTCGTTCTCATTTTCAACTAATTTTTTTATTAAGGTTCGTGCATGAACTTAAAAGAGGGTAATGCTCTTGTCAATGGAAGGTATGAGAAAATTTGGCCTTAATAGTCAACCGCGTTGACTTGCTTTGTTTTTTCCATTACAATGGTTGCAACCTACCTACCACCAAATTTTGAACAAAACCCGTTTGCTTCGATCTTGTTTGATAACCATTTTATTTTTAGTTTTCGATCTTGTTTTGTTATCAACTTTCTACTAATATTTTTAAAAATCAAGTTAAGTTTTGAAAACTATAAAACGTTTATAGAAGGTTGATTTTCCACCTTACAATAGGTTCGCTTTGAGTTGGATGAGATTCTATCGGCCGAACTTTGCGAAATAGGGTTAGCTTCAACTCAATTAAAACATGGGCTAATTTCAAACTCGATTTTCATAATTTTTAACAAAATAGAGATTTTGTTCAAAAAAATAAATAAATAATATAGTCGTCATTATTTGACACAGAGAGCAAACCTGACTTCCAAACAAACTACCAAATAAAAAAAATATCTTCAAAAAAGGAAAAAGAAATTAAAAAATTAAAAAAAAAAAAGAATTAATAAGTTGATCAAATTGAGAAAGAAAGAAGACTTGGACTCACCTTTTTCCTCCCAAATTGCCAATATGGGTTTGTCAAATGGAAAAATTACAAGTCAAAGGGTCAACTCCATTTAATTAAACAAATAAATAAATAAATATTATGAATATTTACATTAATTAATCACTTAATTAACATCCTAATCTTCCATATATATATATATATATATATATATATATATATATATATATAGATATATATATAGATATAAACATAGATGGTTGGATAGTCTCTTCATAGCCTTTTCCTTTTTTTTCTCTCTCTTTACCTTTTCTCTGTCTTATCAAATAATCCCACTTGGATTCTGAACCAAAAATCCATTCTTTTCCCGATGGATGTTAAAATGAGAGGCTTTACGGCGGAGGAGGCGGAGGAGGGCGTCCGGAAAGGCCCCTGGACGGTGGAGGAGGATGCTGTTCTCTTCAATTACGTTCACTCCCACGGCGAAGGGCGCTGGAACGCCGTCGCTCGTTGCACTGGTTCGTGTCGTTCCTGGCGGCGCGTCTAAATAAGAATTTATTATGGGTTTGTTTTTTTGATGGGAAATTTGTGAATTTGTTTTAGGTTTGAAGCGAACGGGTAAGAGTTGTAGATTGAGATGGTTGAATTACTTGAGGCCGAGTGTTAAACGTGGTAATATCACTCTCCAAGAACAGCTCTTGATTCTTGACCTCCATTTTCGATGGGGAAACAGGTGAATTATCCAAATTTTCAAAGTTTTTCTTTCTTTTTTTCATCTGGGTATGCTTAAAAATTGAATCTTTTAATGACCCACTTCGAAAAATGGAGTCTTTTTTATTGGAGGAAAAAAAAAATATGATGGAATTGGAATTGGAATTGGAACAGGTGGTCCAAAATTGCGCAATATTTACCCGGAAGAACGGATAACGAAATTAAAAACTATTGGAGAACCCGAGTTCAGAAGCAAGCCAAACAACTTAAGTGTGACGTGAACAGTAAGCAATTTCGAGATGCCATGCGATATGTGTGGATGCCCCGTTTGCTAGAACGGATCCAAGCCTCTACTGACTCAGTTACTGATGTCGCCGTCTCTGCCTCCACTGATGTCGTCCTATCTCTCGAACAAACCCAACCATCACCTTCGAGGTCTAGTTGGGTCAATCCTCATGTGACTCCCTCAACTTCGTCATCAGACTCTGTTTCTAATAAGGTTGTTAAATCATTACAAAATTCTTACGTTAAATGAATGACCTAAACTCGAAAGGTTATGATATATCTAACCATTTATTTGTATGTATGATATAGGTTCAACTTCAAGTTTTTCCTGTTTCAAACGTGATGGAAGACTTTAGCTTGGTTGGTACGAGCGAGGAGGAGGGAATGATGATGGTAGTGCAACAAGGGTGTGACGGGGAAGCGACGAATGGTTGGATAGGTGGCGGAGAGTTATTGGAGGATGGGTTTTGGGATGGGGAAGACATGTGGTTCTTGTAGGAACAATTTGGTGATGATGTTTAATAAGAACATTAGATTAGAAATCCTCCAATTTGAATTTGGTTACGTGACGGAAAATGTTATAAATAGGGGAATGAATGACTTGACGAACTAGAAGTGTAGACTAAAAAAAACATGATGACAAACAAGGAACATTGACAGCTTATGATGTCCACTACCTTCGTAACATTTAGTTTTGTAAGTTTATACATTAATGTTTTGTCTTAAATTACACACTTTGCCCTTACTAACATTATGTTTAATTTAATTAATAACTATAGTTCCAACTGACCTATTGCGTATCATCGTTATTCAGCTCTCCAATCGATGTCGGATTCACAATAAACGCTAACACATAGCCTGATTTTTGACTTTGATACTATTTGTTATAGTCCAAGTCCACCACTAGATCGGATTCTAATACCATTTGTAACCACTTTGGCCCATTACATATTGTCGTTGTTCCCCTCTTCAACTGATTCGTCTGTTGTTTGACTCTAATACCATTTGTAACAGCTTAAACCCCCCACAAACCGATATTTTATTAAAACACTTTTAATTTAAGTAATTATTTTAAAACAAAAGTATCTCGGTCATAACAATTTTACTTTTAATTTTGTTGGTATAGATATTAATTTTCAATTCTTTTAAATTTTTGTTAGTCATCTTATCTTCAATATCACTATCATTCAAATGTGATATCGGTTCATTTATGCACCACTTCTTTAATCAGATATCACATGACTTAGTCAGAGTTTGAGAGTCGAATTGGGTTCACCCTCAAATCCTTCAAGTGGAGGCATGTATTTGACATGTTCCGTTAGCCTCGTGACATGTTCCGCTTTCTATATTGGTTGTCTCTAACCTTGTTCAATTTTTTATCCAAAATTATTAGTAACAATTATTAAATATGTATTTTTATTTTTTTAAAATAGGAAAAAAGAAAAAAAAAAACAAATTATGCAACACTTGGTTAAATTTTAAAGTTGGAGTACTAAATTAATCTAAATTTATGGTTTAATTCGGGGAAAATAAGAATATTTAATTTATATGGTTCCTAAAAATAAAAATGGGTTGGAACATAAAGGGAAATATATGACTCATGCTTACCTCATCATGATCACCATTTCCACTCACAAACTCAATAAATAAATTAAAATTTTATATTAATCTCAATACATTTCTTTTTCTATATTATTGGATTTTTACGTCACGCACACATCAACATATTGATATATATATATATATATATATATATATATATATATATATATATATATATATATATATATATATATATATATATATATATATTTTGCTACATAATTCAAACATTAATTCTATATATCATTAAATTTCTTGTGGTAATAATGTAATTCGAAATCCGAACCCTAACAATCTCCCGTAGTCTCGGTTTATTCCTGCACCATTTTTTTACTCGGGTGTCACATGTCCACCAACTTTCGTTTTGATTCGTCCCCAAACTATATCTTACTGGGAGAGATACCGCTCTAACACCATTTGTATCGACCCTATTCCCAGGATTCATAATCCAAATTCGGCATCTAATGGCCCCAGCAATCCCCTACATTTTCAGCGATATGGTCACGCTACCTACTAGAGTGAAAACTATTTCAACAAACCAACGTGAATTCTTTCCGCATATTTTATCCTCACTCACATACATCCTAGAAAAATTCTTAGAAGGTCACTTGACATAGGATTTCTCCAAGTAAATCACGTTTAACTGTGAAGATCATATGATTAAGCCATCGAAAAAAAAGACACACCTTGTTGATATAGATAGTAACTTTCAATTATTTTAAGCATTTTTTAGTCATTCTATCTTCAGAGTCTTTCGCACTCGGGCGTAATCTCGATTAATTCATGTACCCCATTTTTACTCGGATGTCACAAATAGCAACATTCTGTAAATTAGACTATAGTTTTCCTTCCTCAAAATATTGTTTTAGCCTATAATATTACTCAAACATTGTGGATAATTATTCATTCGATTAAAGAAACACGAACTAACTCCACTACCCTAATTATATTAGTAGTATAAGAATCATATCCCCTCTCTATCATATTCATTTAAATTAAACTATTTTTTCTCGAACATAAAGTAATCAGTCAATATTTTCTTAGTGGAGGACGTAACTAACACGTAGGTGGTCACAAAAGTAAAAGCCATGAGAGTTCAATTCCGTAGAGGATTACCCCACATACGTAGGAGGGGAGACCCTAAACACCATATAGATATCAATCAAATCAGCACTTTGGGATTTTAATATGGAATACAGCCATGGGTTCTCCATTATATACCAATGGCTGAGTTGGGACAATTTGTACCCAACAAAATAGCCCTTCCCAATGGGTCCTCTACAGTCCTTAGTGGAGTACTATATTCTTGGTGACCCATGTGATTGGTCTGCCAATTGGGTCCATATATATTCATAACTTTCTAGGGTCTTTAGGGCTCATGGCTGCAATGAATGACCTCAAACTTCTTCTTCTTCTTCTTTTAGGGTGTAATTTGTTCATGCAATCTTATTCACTGAGTGATGTGGAGGAAAGGGAGGACTACAAGAATTGGCTCTCATGGAACCTTCAAAATTACAAGAAGAAGGCAGTTTGGAAGCCGGGTTCGCAGCCAAACTCCGGGTGGTTTCAGGGCGTCGGAGTTCTCGATGATAAATTGAGAAAGGCCGAGAGCAACAAAGTGAGAATCGTCATTAGCCAAGACGGGACGGGCGATTTCGTGACCATTGGAGAAGCTCTTAATAGCATTCCGAAACCTAATAGTAAAAGAATCGTTTTGGTCATCAATCCAGGAGTGTATAGGTACAGTAACTATTAGAAATCATGGACCTCCACAATGATATGATATTGTTCACTTTGAGCATAATTTCTCGTGACATGATCATCTCCTTAATTAGCTAATATATGATACTAATGGTGTAAAATTGGATCGAGTTCAGTGAAAAGATCAGCATTCCTAAAACCCTACCATTCGTAACGTTTCTTGGAAGCGCCAGTCACGACCCGCCGACCATCATCGGAAACGACACGGCGGTGGTGATCGGAGGAGATGGGATACCATTGGGGACGTTGAAGAGTGCGACTGTGGCTATCAATGCCAATTATTTTGTAGCTATTAATATCAAGTTTGAGGTAAAAGATTCAATGTTGATGCCACAAACACAACGTTCCAAGAAATGGCTATCATTTTGAGTTAAATACGATCATGGGTTTGCAGAATACAGCAATGCACGAGGTGGGATCGGTGCGAGGACAAGGAGTGGCATTGAGAGTATCAGGAACAAAGGCTGCCTTTCACAATTGCAGCTTTTATGGAGATCAAGACACGCTATATGATCATAAGGGTCTTCATTATTTCAACAATTGCTACATCCAAGGCTCGGTGGACTTCATATTTGGCTATGGAAGGTCCTTCTATGAGGTTAAATCTAAGTTTAGTTAATAAAGTTTGCACCTTTATTTAAGATTGTTCATGTTTTGAAATGGGTTTGTGCAGAAATGTTATTTGAACTCCATAGCTAAGAAAGTGGCTTCTGTGACGGCTCAAAAGCGATCAAAATCTTCAATGGGAAGTGGGTTTTCGTTCAAAGATTGTGTTGTAACGGGGAGTGGACAAATCTACTTGGGAAGAGCTTGGGGAGATTACTCTAGAGTTGTTTTTTCCTATACTTTTATGGACAAGATTGTTCTTCCTCAAGGTTGGAACGATTGGGGCTCGAGAAAACGTCAATCGTAAGCAACTTATAACTTTATATCTTTCCATTCATGTCCACTGTGAGATCCCACTGTTAGTTGAACTCATTGTGCATAAGTTTTTGTGGCTTTGTTTTGGACTTCCCCAAAAGGCCTCACATAAACGCAGAATTATTCAGCAGATGTAGGACTTTCATCCAACACCCTCATCAGTGATTGGGGAAGAGAACGAATCATTCTTTATAAGGGTGTGAAAACCTCTCTCTAACATATGGGTTTAAAAACCTCGATAGAAACTCGAAGGAAAAGTCCAAAAAAGACAATATCTATAGTGATGGGTTTGAACTGATCCATCTAGAGGAGCTCGGATTAGTTAGTTAGGGTTGGTGCATATTCACATTGTATTTTTTGATGGATGTAGGACGGTGTATTATGGAGAGTACAAGTGTAGTGGACCAGGGGCAGACCTAAGCGGAAGAGTAAGATGGGCTCACAACCTCACAGATGAAGAGGCTCAGCCATTCATTGGGACTCACTATGTTGAGGCTGATACATGGCTTCTTGCCCCTTACAACTCTTAAATTTATCAACCCTTTCAAGATTTATGCTCTTTCCATTATATATTATATATTGTATCCAAATATTTCAAATTCTTAAGAATTTCTAAATATAATCTTCGATATTTAAATTAAAAAAAAAAAAAAAATCCTTGTCGAAATGGATCGTTCATCTACTCTCATAACATTTAAAAATTTAGGGGTTAAATTGTTGAGTAAATGCTACTAAATAAAAATAATTCAAAACAATAATAAATCTTATAACAAATTAAAATTAAATATATTTTGATTTTTTTCATGCAATATCTTTAGATTCCATTTTCTTACAATATTATTTCATATCTTAATTATATCTTTAATCTCTCAACTTCAATTAAAATAATAATAATAATAATAATAAGGATAAAATAAAATAAAAATCTAAATATTTATAGACTATATAAAAAAAAAATGGAGAGAATAATTTTTAAAAATATAATTATAATAAACAACGGTCATATTTCAAAAAAAATATGCTTAGACTTTTATAAAAGATTTTAATCATCGATTATAATAATTTAATATAAATTTAAACGAGGATGGTATTTTAAGAAATTTAGTGAGAATATTATTTTGCATTGTGTTTAATTAAATTACAATAATTAGTAGGTTTTGTACAAATAAATAACTTAAGCGTAAATTATATAATTAGTTGAGTTTTTTTTTTTTTTTTTTAATTTTAATTATTATTATTAATTTTGACATTTTTTAAAAATATATAAAAAAAAAAAAAAAAAGGTTAAGAAATAAGTAATAACCCTTTTCNTGTTTTCCCTCTCAGTCGCGGGCGAAGTCGCCGTGTCTCCAAGTCCATTGCTTTCATTGTACCCTTGGCGAAGGATCTTCACCGCCGCACCTCTATCGCCACAAAACCCTTCTTCCTCTTTGTCTCCGTGGCTCTCACCGGCAGCCACTCAATCAGCCCCCAACCGGAAACCACTTCACTCTCATTCTTCCTCCAAAGTTTTAGTCTTTAGACGCCCAAATCAATTGCCTTTGGGTACTGAAGAAACAGGGAGGAAGAACTAGTGACCCAGTTTGGAGATTCTTCAGAATTTCTGGGTTTCTTTAATCTTTGGTTCCTCTGTTTGATTTCATTGCTGATTTCGTTAAGGTTCACCACTGTTTTTGTTCTTGTTTGTTCATTGTTTGGTTCTGATATGATTTATTTATGTGACATTTTATTTGGGTCCAGTTCTTGTGGGATAATTTTTGTTTGTGTTCTACACATTAGGTAGGGTGGATTAAAGTTACCCATCAAAAATTTGGTCCTGTTTTGATGTTTTGATTTGGTTTCCTTAATCCAGAGCCTCAAGGAATGTGTATTGGTTGGAAGTATTAGACTTAGAGATTGTCCAAATGTTCTACCTTAGCCGAATTGAGCACACACTGCGTGTGCCTCCAAGCATGCTCCATTTACCTATCCTTGATGCTATTAAGGGGGAGCTGGAGAAACTGTTCCTGGATAAGGTTTGTGTAAATTTTGTAGGTAAACTTGTTGATTAACACTTACACTGAGATGAGTTTTGTGATGAAGGTTGTTGCCAACTTGGGGCTCTGTATTTCTGTTTATGATATAAGATCGGTTGATGGGGGCTTTATCTTTCCCAGCGATGGTGCTGCAACATACAAGGTATTCTTGCACTCTTCAGATTCAACCATTGCATTCTGGTGCCTAACATATATCGTATACTTACGTTTTCGAGTACAAAACGAATATCCTTTTGTGCTTCAACATATAAAATCTAAATCAAATAACGAATAATCTTTTGCCTCTTCGTTGTCCATTTATCTTATGAACTATTTGTCTTTTCAGTGTTCTTGTCATTTGATGTCAGAGTTCTTCGAATCGACATCAGGGTTACTTATCGATTGGATATTTTGGCAGGTTGTGTTCACATTGATTGTGTTTCGTCCATACGCGGGGGAGATAATTATTGGAAAAGTGAAAGAATCAGATGCAAATGGTTTGCGAAGTATGTTAACTTCTTTTCCATACTTTTTTTCAGAAGGTATATTATGCTAGGAACCACGAACCTCCACAACGGTATGATATTGTCTACTTTGAGCATAAGCTCTCATGGCTTTGCTTTTGGTTTCCCCAAAAGGCTTCATACTAGTGGGGATAGTGTTCTATACTTATAAACTCATGATCTTCCTCTTAATTAGCCAATGTGGGACTGCTCCTCTCAATAATCCTCAACATATTTATCTATCACGAATGTTTTCTCTTTGATTCGCGTTTAACTTAGTCTAGCAATTTTAATCTTGTCACGCTATTCTTTCTATTAAGTGTATGTTTAAGATTAGTTCCTCTGTATAAATCTTCCAATGCTTCTGGTTCATTAGTGATTAGCGTAAGAGCTCTGTCTTGGATTTCCGAATGAGTTGTTCTTAGGCTGATCGTTTCATTGGTGTAGGCGTGTATCTCAATTCTTGGTAATTTTAGTGTTAGTGTTGTGGGTTTATCTTCTCCAAATTCTGGTGGTTCATTGTATATTGGGGAATTTGTTCTACACCATTCAAATAAATTTATTTTTTCAAGCTATTATATACATATATATGTTGAGGATCAATCTGGTTAAGAGTTTGAGCCTTGTACTTTCTGATACAAAGAAGTTGTGAGCTTCGAAGGTGTAGTACAAAAATGACTTATATGTCGAACAAAGGGTGTACTTTGTTTGAGGGCTCCAAAGGAGTCGAGCCTCGATTAAGGGGAGGCTATTCGAGGGCTCCATAGGCCTCATGGAAGGCTCTATGTTGTACTTTGTTCGAGGGGAGAATTGTTGGGATGGAGTCCCACATTGGCTAATTTAAGGAATGATCATAGGTTTATAAGTAAGGAATACATCTTCACTGGTACGAGGCCTTCTGGGGAAACCAAAAGCAAAGCCATGAGAGCATATGCTCAAAGTGGACAAGATGATTGATAACGTACTTGAAAGAGGCTTTTGGAATAACCTTCATCTTCTCATTCTTTCTTTATGAACATTACATATGATAAATTTAGCATGGTGATGATGAAAGTATATTAATCTTGCAGTATCACTTGGATTTTTCGAGGACATTTACGTTCCCATCCATCTTCTGCCGTCTCCATCAGAATTCAAGCCTGATCCGAAAAATAGGTAATGCTCCCTGTGCAGCCCACAACCTCTGGCTAATGGTGTTTCCATTTGATAATCTGTGTTGTTGACGTATCTAAAGTATTATCCGTTACTATTCTTTTGTGAGTATTGCAGCGGAAAACGCAGATGGGTGTGGGACTATGATGGTCAACCATACGACATATATGAAACGGATGAGGTTTGTGAATTATGATAATGGTTTTTCATATATTTTGGTTGGAACCCAGTGTTAGTCCTTAACGTTTATACTTATTCCATTCGGGTCCTTAAACTACGAAATGCTTTGTTTGAATCCTCAACTTCGCACGAGTCCTACTCCGTTTTTCTTGATAGTTGTATGCTTAGTTTTGGTTTTTGGAAATGGCAGATAAAATTTAGAATACACAGCATAGACTACCCAACAATCCCGGTGGATCAGCAGCCGAACGAGAGTAACTCAAAATTCCAAATGGAGGAGCAACCGAAAGAGAACGTTAACGTAAAACCATTCGCTCCCATGGTTGTTACTGTACGTTGCTTGCTCTAAATTCTTTCCATTTCATCTACTCGTGTTATTGATATGTGTGTATAGCATTAGCCAGAGGAAGACTGGTTTGTCCATCAATAAGGTCTGCTTTTTGTGGATGTAGGCGACAATCGACTATGATGGGTTGGGTCCTGTTTCGTGGTGGGATGGTTCAGGAGATGCCGATGCCGAAGCCGAGGCCGAGGCAGAGGCTGAGGAAGATTCCTAAGATCACTTTCCCATCTTTTTACTGTGAAAAATTGGTATTTGTTCATTCATAATTCTGTATTATATATCATTATCACTTGGCATAGGCATAAGTCTTTTACTCTCTCGTTCTTCGGACCAACTTCGAAGCCAAGTTGGGAGAGTCGAGCAAAGTTCCTGTTGGCTGTTTTTCGGATCCCGCTCGTAAAGTCTAAACATTTGGGTCGAGTTGAATGAGGTATTTGAAAGGGTAAAGAGGGAATGAAGTTGAAGTAGTGATAATTATTAAGAAGCTTTAAAGAGATCAAGGCGAGAATCTGCTAATCTAAGGGAATAAGCAGCTTTCTTGTACTGAGCCCAAGTGAAAGGCTTATATAGAGATTGGTGATTGGGGGGTATCATTTCTGATAGAGGTGCTATCCATGCATTCAACGGTGGTGCCCCGAAGTACATGATTGACATTCTTGCCTTCTTTGAGCTGTTTGCCATTGCTCTATGCCTCACACTTACAAATCTCCCATTTGTCATTGCCTGTTGTGTTCAAAAACAAAAACAACAAATCTCAATAACCCATTCTATAAATGAACTTATTTTTTGTGTTAATTGTTTCTCGACATCGACATTGGCATCTGATAGATTATTTATCGCTTCAAATACTTGTTTACTGTCTAACTAGCTCAAAAAGATATCATTTTGAAGTCCCCTTCTATATGGTGGTTTTGCTTTGAGCTCTAAACGTGTTCTACAAACATTAACGACAACGAAAGGTGATAGATGACAATAAACGACGTTTTCTTGATGGTTAATGATATTTTATCTAATTAATAATTTTGTATAATTTTTTTAAGAATAAAATGTCAATTAGCAATGGACACATTTTCAAATGTGGTACGAGTTTCTTTGAAAATACTTTAAGGGTACATACATACGGAATACATTCAAAGTTGTGTTTATGCATTGTTTTCTCGCAACAATCACGGGAGTTATTGTACAAATCAATGTAGTGTTTCAAAAGCTAACAAATCTATGTCATGTTCAATTAAAAAGTGTCAGTTCTAAATTGTCATCTTAGGCTACAATAATGACGAGTATTAAACGTCAACTGAACATGATATGTCTTTACATTAAGAAAATATGTCAGTTATAACTGTCATTCATTCAATTTGCAATTATATGAATGATGACACTGGATATGATGCCAGTTTCCATCTGACGTCATAGCAAGCCTTCGTCGTATAGTTTACAACAACATTGGGTTTGATGTCAGTTGTAAACCGATATCATAGTGAATCATCGTCGTACAATAACATATTTTTTATGGCAATTTTAAACTGTCATTGTCATACCCTATGACGACTCCTAGAAAGATGGCAATTTGTAATCCGTCACCATACATAATATGATATTAGTTCTGAACTACCATGCGCTACATGACAATGGCTATGTTCATATGGTCGCTGTCCTAAAATTTTCATTTAATAATCTTTGTAGTTTTCTTTTTAAGGTAAGTTTTTGTATGATATGAAAAAGTAATGTCATGTCACGTCTTATTATTGCATTATGTCAACTAAACTAAATCATTAACCTTAGGACTTATAATCATAATTTAATCTCAAATACGAAATAAATAAATAAATTTTGTACCTGAAGTGCATCACCAATCAAGACGTAGAATGCAGACGGGTCGGGGCAAACGGGTCGCCACAACCCGTCCTGCAAGGAGATTTGAAGGCCATCAACATCGTTGGATCTCAAGATGGTCAAGATCTGAGGGTCAGAATGCTCCCCAAATCCAATCCTATTATTTGAAGGGTTGGATTTTGATGAAAGCTCCCAATTTTCAGTGTGCTTGACTGCAGGGTAGTAATTGATCCTCAAAACTGAATCACTATGGACGTCCCTGATGAGGTCACTGAACACAGACTTGTTTGGTAACCATAGACCCTCACCTACTAGATCAAGAATCTCACATCCTAAATCCTTCACGCTTTTAACATATTCATTCACCACGTAGCTGAAAAAAAAACAAAAATTAAAAAATTAAAAAATATTAATATTTTGTAATAATATTATACGGTATTATCCACTAAGAGCATATAAACTCTCGTGACTTTGAAGGGAGATATGATATCATAAAATATGGTGTCACCAACCTGAAAGTAGAAGGATCGTTGGAGATGGAGGGGGAGGTTTGGAGAACGGAAGCGGGGTCGGAGCGAAGAAGAAGGTATTCGAGGTCGCCCGTGTCGCCGTTGGGGCCAATGGCTTTGGTACCATAGCCGAAGGGGGCAGCGGGACCGGCGCGGTGCTTCTCGGGGGCTGTTTTGGCGAAGAAATCAAAGGCTTGGCATTCGAGTCGGGAAATGGCATGGTGAGAAACGCCATGGTTGATGAGCTTGAAGAAGCCAAAGTGGTGGCAAGCATGGAGAATGGATTTGGAAGTAGTTGGCCTGGTTTGGGAGAGATCTATGGTGGGAATCCCGACCGCCTCTGTCTTCTTGGTCCTCATGGCTGTCGGACAAGGCATGGCTTCAACGATGGCTAACCTCTTACTTATACAACACTTTGAAATAGAGAGAGAACAGAGCTGTGCTTGTTTGGTCAATTTGTAATTATAGTAATGCTGATTGTGATTTAATTAAATTCAAAAACATTTTCTTTTTAGCAATATTAGGAAGATAGATGCTAAATTATATATATATATATATATAGTGAAAAATACTTCAAATTTATATTTTAATATGCATTTAAAGATATAATAATAACTATGGTTCCAATTATAATTTTATGATGCATTGTTTAGTCTATTTATCTATTAGAAATAATCCAATAAAAAATAGTTAAATGATGTGTATTTATCTTTATATTATAAAAAAGAATATTAGTCCAATCACAAAATATAAATTCTATTTCAAAACTTCATCATTGATATAAATAAATGATTATAGAAATTTTTTAAAATATAGATTTTGTATTAGTAATATTGTTAACCGATTAAATTATATTAGACGTTTCATATTATCATGGTGAAGAGTATAGGCTAAATAAACCAATTAGTTTATAATCTCGTGGATAATTAAGAATTTGGGGTTCGAGTCTTTTAATATTTTCCAATTTTATCCTTAATGTATTAAAAATTCTTCCATTAAAAAAATTAAGTTGACATGAAATTGAAATTATATTTAGATGTTAATAATTAAATTATAAAAAAATGGAAACTTTAGGGAGATTAAGAACCATAAAGTATATTTAGGATCGAATAATAGTAAAGTTAAAAATTAATTAGGTAAGTAATTATTATTTGACTAGAAAATTGTGTATGAGAGAGAAAGAGACAACCTGGTCGCGGCTGTTTGTCTGCCTGTGCTTGGATTCTTGTCATGAAAACCTTGTGTTTTTATTATTATTTTATTTATTGAAGCCAACCAAAGTCTCCTCCAAGTTGCCTGTAATGTTTGACTTTTTCTCCTCTTTTGACTCCCTTGCACGTGCACCACCACTTCTTCCCTACCTTCTCATTTCCGTGTACAGTAGTTCAATCATACGAATTTTAAGATTAAGTATACTGTGTTTAGAGCAATTCTATACTGAATAACCTTCTGAAAATTTTCCCAACATATATATACTATGAACCGTTGTTATTTCTCTCTTTCTTGCTTATATAACGTCTCTTTCAAAAATCTCTCTCTGCCCTCGTTTTCTAAAACCTTCTCTTAAAACTGAGGTCAAAGGCTCGAGCATACGTTGCTTGACCGTAAGTAACGCAAGAACGAATTGGATTAGCTCACTTGTCGTTGGAAAGTTAGTGCTGCACAATCGCAAGTCCGCTGCCATCAAAAGTGCGATTGTGACAAGTGGTATCAGAGCCATGCCCTAAACTTAGTTGTGCCAATAAATTTGACTAAGGGGAGGCACACTTTGTACGAAGGGAGGTGTTGGATGATGAAAGTTCCACATCGGCTAATTTAAAGAATGATCATAGATTTATAACACAAATAATATTGTCTCCATTAGTTTAAGGCCTATTGGGAAAGCTCAAAGCAAAGTCATGAGAGTTTATGCTCAAAGTGGAAAACATCATACCATTGTGAAGAGTCGTGTTTATTCTAACATAGTATCAACTCTTTCGACAATATTATAATATTATAAAGGCTTTGGTCACCAACTTTAGGGACAAAGAACAGTTACAAGTCAAAAGTGAATATGAAGTTCCAACGTGGTAAGGACAGCAATTGTTTCTTCATTTTTTTCTCTTTAATTAATCCTTAATTATATAATTAAACAACATTATAATTTTCTAATCTTAATTCACTTTGCCTTTACCCCTGTTGTTGTTTTCTTGTCTACAATACTTTTTAAAATAAATTTATTTAAATTAATAATTAACTTTCTTTCTTTTACTTTATTTAAATATTGTTTTTGGTAATAACAAATTTTTTTTTAATGTTTAATGTATTTTTATAAACGAAATTGATTATCAATGTTTTATATTGATATATCAATAAATATTTCAATTTTCGATGCCAACATAAAAAAAAATAATTATTTTTTAAAATATAATTTTAACTAAAATCAACTTACTCGAAGGAGGGATTGCATGTTCCGACTAATAAAATAATTAAATAGAATTACATAATTAATTATATTTAAAAATAAATAAAAAAAGGAAAGGCCGGCCAGCACCATTACCCAACATTAAGGAGAAGACAAAGAGAATGAGACACCCATTTTCCTTTCAATTTAAATATTCACAAAAATAACTATGTGGGTCCCCATCTCTTGTGTTTTGCCACGTGGACCCCTTAGGATTCTCCACAGTCCACAATAAATTTTTTAATTTAGTGTGATTTATTTTATTTGTTTAAAATATTAATATTATTTTGAAAGCATGCCTTAATATAGCAAAATAATGATTATAAATTTTAGTTAATATAGGAAAAAAATTAAAAAAAATTACAAAAAAATTAATTATAGAATTTCCAAAAGTTATAATTTCTCATTATTTTCCTTAAATCTCTTCGATCACTTCAAGTTCGTTTTAGTCGGTTACGTATAGCCGTCAACTTTATAGTTTTAAAACACCTCTATTAGAGAGAGTTTCCACACCTTTACAAAAAAAATATTTTGTTTACTTCTTCAACCAATGTGAGATCTCACAATCCACCTCCTTTGGGAGCCAGCGTCCTCGTTGGCACACTACCCGATATCTGTCTTTGATATCATATGTAATAGATCGATGCCACAACTAGTAGATATCGTCCACTTTGGCTCATTGCGTATACTAAAGAAAGTTTTCACACTCTTACAAGAAATACTTTATTCCCATCTCTAACCGATGTGGTATCTCACATCATATGTATTCGTAGTCGTTTATTAGGTAGTTTTTACATAGTTGGCCTCTTGTGGTGTTGGCAGTTGAGATATTTCCAACTTCTTTTTATAAATTATCCATTATAATGATGTAATGCTTTTAGGAACATAACCGAGAAAGTTTAGCCAAAGTTCTAAATTCTAATAATTTCAATATAAATTTTGTCTCACTTGAAAGATCGGAATCATCGTTAACCCTTCAACATGTCGTTTCTATATCGACGTGTTCTTCCTCACCCCTTCTAGTATGTTCAAATATCTCAAGCGATCGATGAACTTCTAAGTCTCTATCTCTGTCTGTCTCACTTGAAAGATGGGGTTTTTGGGATTGATGCTTTCCGACTGAGTTGATCTAGTGGGGTGATTACGAGTACGTGGCTTCTTCTTACGGATCATGTATCAATTAATAAAAAGAAAAGGAACATACCCGATAAGGGTAATCGAACCGTCTTTATCTTTTAATCATAGAGTCAACTCGATCATCATTCTAGTTAACCATTTTTACCCGAACATATCTCCTCATTTTTCGATTCTTACTTCATGTAGGGAAGATATAATAGGTTTTTTTTTAATAAAAATATCAACCATTTTAACTCTCACGAGAGTACATACAAAACTTAAATGGTTCAAACGACTTCTTTTTCTATTTTAAATTCTTCGAGATTTGTTATTGCACGTCGTATCAAACCAGCTAAAAGCTCAAATTATATGTAAAGTCAATTTGAAGATCGTTCAACTAACTAAAATATTTTATGTAGAGTTAATTTGAGTATAATTCAACCGATTAGAATATTAAAAAATCTTTCATTAAAGTTATCATTTCGACCTCGGATTGAAACGGGAAGATGATGAAGAATTTGACTTATATCATGGATAGAATCATAAACATATTTGATTAACGAAGAAAAACCTAATTTGTCAACGACATGAATGATTATCATGTCTTCATGGTGTTTAGCACATTGATTATAATGGTCAAATCTTCATTATAAAGCGGGAAAACCTAATTAGATGGGATTAGGTCCACTCTTGTCTAAACTCTCGTCAAATCAATCTCAAATCATATTGATTAAGAGATCCATAGTTATTTCTATTAGGAATTTACCTTAAAGTTTCTTCGTTATTTATTAAGGTTGTTTTTACTCGATAATAAATTTTCTTCGTAAAATGTTTAAGGTTTCATTTAATAACGATTTCGCTTTTAACTTTATATTTGAAATTTGTCAAAAGTTTGACGTCTCACTTTACAAAATGATAACACGAGACTATACTCCAAAACTTTCGTCGCAAGCAATTGTTTGTGCTAAAATGATAAATTTAATCAGGCTTTGAACCACATCGAGTGATGTTATGAGAGCATCCACCCATAAGAGCACAGTCTTCGTTAGCTCGACTGAAGAAGCAACCTAATCTCGATACTCAATCCCACCATTACACATAACACAACACTAAGAATTTTACCAACAACTAATACGACCTATATGCAACCTATCTTGCACACCAAACCAAGTTTGAAAAAGTGTTTGTTTGAGAATATTACCTTCGAGGTTAGATTAAGGCACTATAGGGTGGGACACGAAGACTCCCAAGTACTGACAACCAAAAAGATTCCATGACGACATGAAAGTCATGCTATACAATCCTCCCTATGAACTTTTACTGACATCAAATGTATCTACCCGAAAAGCTTCATTAGCTATTTGGAACTAGAAGGCTCGACAGAAAGACCCATCTAGATGGACAAACTCATAAATTTTGACATTAAAGGAACTGTATCCCCGAAGGGTCACACTACAAAAAACAATTATTCTGAATAGAAAATCGAATCAAGAGTCACAAAATTTGTCTCGAACTTTGATCGATAATAAATTTAGATGAAAAGATACCCAATATGATTTATAAACACTTGAGCTATGATATAAGTATAATTAATCCACAAATTTAGGTTTGTTTTTTTCTTATTTGGAAAATCATAAAGAAAACAACTAATTTTTCACTTAATCATGACTTGTTGTTCGTCGCTTGCAGGTGAATTAAGGAAATCCAATAATAACAAGTTGTCTTCCTCTGCTCACAGGGATTTCGCGCTCGAATGATGCTCAAAAAATGAAACCAGAATGATCTTCGTCGAATCGATCATATCAAAATCCCGATTGTATGGTACCCATGTGATGAAATTCGGATCGGAGGAACATTACTGTGTAAATCATTCGATTTGTGAACTTGAGTTTTCCGGCATTGCGAAGTAGAAAAAAAGCCCTAGAATTCGGGGGAAGTCAGATATGGATGCCAAGGATATCTTGGGGTTGCCCAAAAACACGCTGCCTTTGTCCCAAGAGAAGAAGCCTAGGGCTCAGAAAGATGCCCAGAGAAAGCGAGATGGAATTTCTCGGGAGGTAATGTCTTCTCCTTGCTTTTGTTGTGTTTAAATGATTGATTAAACTTGGTTTCATGGCTTGCAGTAGTAATGGTGGGGGTTTTGGATTGTAGGTTTATGCGCTTACTGGTGGTCTTGCGCCTATTATGCCGGCAATCGATACATCCGAGCTGAAGAAGCGACCTCCATCAGATGAGAAGGTTTTTTTTCTTCCTTTTTTGTGCAATAAGTGTTATCATCTGGTAGTGTGTTGTAATGGTGAATTGAATATCGAAATTGAGACTTCGTTTGCTGTACAGTCCTCGAGACTGATGTGAGAAATTGGGGAAGGCCTTTGTGTTTGAATGCTTAATTGTGTTATGGAATCAATGTTACTTGAGTGCTTGGCTAATAATTGAGTATCTTACGTGGTATGAGTTTTAAAGTATAGATATCTCGTGCAATTGATGAATTCAGATGGGATTGAGTCTTAGAGTTGTTCAGGTTACGTTTGGAGCGAAACAAAGACGGTTGCTCCATGCTAGAGGAGGTTCTGATGCCCCTTTTGGGATAAGGGCAGCGTTTTCTTGGCAAGTTTGTTGCTCTGCTGTTGCATCGAGTGCTTGGCTCGATAGAAATATTGGATTATTTAGAGGTTTCGAGTGGTCTTGGATTGTTCAGGTTACGTTTGGAGCGAAACAAAGACTGTTGCTCCATGCTAGAGGAGCTACTGATGCCCCTTTTGGGATAAGGGCAGCGTTTTCTTGGCAAGTTTGTTGCTCTGCTGTTGCATCTAGTGCTTGGCTCGACAGAAATATTAGATTATTTAGAGGTGTCGAGTGGTCTTGGGTTGAGGTGTGGGATAGTGTTAGATTAAACACCTTGTTGTGGGCTTCTGCTCCTTGGATTTCTTGTAATTATCCGTTTGGTTTGATTCTTTTGGATTGGAGTTTCTTCCTTTAGGTGAACTCTCCTTGTAGAGTTATTGTATTCAATTGCCCTTACACACTCGCTCATGAATTTAGATTGTTCTTATAATGGTCCTGTGATTTTCCTTCAGATTACATGGCAATGGCTTCCTTTTTCAAACTCTGCTAGAAAGGATAATTTGCAGCTTTACCACTGGGTAGGCTTTTTGGCACCTCTATAAAGCGTCGGATCCAATTGAGTTTTGTTATTGTTCGAAGTCAAAGTCACTTTTCTCTCCATTCTTCCAATGTTTTCATTTGTAGGTTCGAGTTGTAAATGGCATTCCACCAATAGGTGACTATTCCTTTGCAAAGTACAACAAGGTAAGGCCAAGTTTTTCTCTTTATTTGTAGATTTACTGTTTTGTATTCTATCAAGTCGAAATTTGAAGTTTTAAAATGTTCATGAAAATGGAAAGTTCGATATGCCCATTGACATCCGTTTCGTTGTGTGTGATTCCAATATAATGTAATTTTCTTGCTCTTATATTGGTGAAAATTTGATATTATCTATGTTACTGATTATTAATAAAACATATTTTCTTCTTTGAATGTGTTGCAGTCTGTTGAAGTTGTCAAATACACAGATGAGGAGTACGAGAAGTTTTTAAAAGACCCTGTGGGTATATTTTTCCCATTTTTAATGAAGAGCACGAAGAGCAAAGAGAGCTCTCTCTCTCTCTCTCACTCACACACGCACGAACACAAAGTTTCATGATATGTAGAATTTTTTTATGGTATTATGGCTTATGCCTTGAAGCTTCTTTTTGAAACTCTTTTGCCTTTGAGATTCTTTAGGCTTTCAGCTATGGATTATAAGTTGCAACACTATCATTGCTCGAGTGTTTATATTCTATGCAACAACTTATCCTTCGCTTCATACCATGTCACCATATGTTCCGTCTTTATTTGAAGTTTACGGTAAAGCTTGGAGGATGGGGTGTTTCCTGTGTGTGTGTGTGGACATGATTTGATGTTATTTGGAAGTCTACATCACCCTTAGGATGGACAAACTTCCGATGGAGCTCACTATTGCACTTCTGTTTTAGATTCAAGAATTGCTCCTGTCTTGCATTGTTTACCAAAGTTCTTAATGCTGTCTTTTATTTTGTGGTTGAGATATATACCTTTTAAAATATTTTCAGTCATGGACAAAGGAGGAGACAGATCAATTATTTGACTTGTGCGAAAGGTTCGATCTTCGCTTTGTTGTGATAGCTGACAGGTTTCCATCAACAAGGACAGTGGAGGAACTGAAGGAGCGATATTATCATGGTAGATATAACTATTTTTGGTCTATTATTGCAAGCACTTCATGTTTTCTCTTATGCTGCCAATTTATGTTGTTGGTTTTGTAATACACTTGTTTTGGATCATTTACAAATGAACTTGTGATTATTGAAAACTTATACTATAATATTGTATGTTTATAGCATCAAAAGCAATTTTGGGTGCTAGAGGACCAACATCTCGGGAGGGTTCGGGGAATACTCCTGCCAAGGTCGGTAGTCTTTGAATTAGGTCTATTTCCATTGTTACCTTTTTAAAATAGGAGTTCTTGTTTATTAATTTCCTCAAAAAAAATCAATGAAGCTACATAGTTGAAGCTGCTTAGCAAATTAACGTTCTGTTTGATTTTCTTATTTGTTCTTTATATTTAGGATCCTTTCAATGTCTCACAAGAGATCGACCGCAAACGGGCATTGTCCATGGTTCTCTCTCAAACAAAACAGAAAGAACGAAAAGATGCAGAGGTCTCGACTCTCTTATGTTTTAGTGTATATGCATACAGTTAAGTCTAAGCCCTTATATATATATATATACACTATTTATCGTGGCAGGTTCTTGCTGAAGCAAAAAAGATAATCGAATCACGCAAAGCTGAAAGAGTGAGTTCATGTTCTATTTGAATTTTTTTTTAGGCTTGGCATTACATCGCAGGATTTCATGGTTGAAAGAAATTTCATTATTAGCCTCTAGGCTTTAAGTTATCGTGCCAAAAAAACGTTAGTAATACGAATGCCGTATTGTACGGATAACTAGTTCATTGAAGTATTATATCTAGAGCTGGTTTACGATCTTGGTTATATTCATTTTAGGTGGCTGAAGAATCTAAGTTGGCTGTCACTTCAAATACTGTCCCAGAAGTTACTGAAAGGGCCGTTGTTCCTGGAGAGTCTGTAGCATCTGTATCCAATGTGCAGCCTCCACCTCCAGCAGCTGTACCTTCAACTGTAGTAGCAGATAATGCTTCTACTCTAGCTTCTCTTCGCATGGTATACGGTCCAAAGGAATCATATTTAGACGCCTTTTATAGCTTCGTTTCAATAAGGCTTTTGTGATCGATTTTGCTCCCAAAAGCTTAATTGATCTATATACCAAAATATGAAATTTGAGAATGTGTTCTGATGACTGATTTCTACGTTTCAGCTTCCTGTATACTTGAGAACATATGCACTCGAGCAAATGGTACATGCTGCAAGCTCATCTGCCGGCCTTAGGACTATCAAACGAGTCGAACAGACCCTACAAGATCTTTCGGTTGGTTAACGTTCTCGTTTTTTCGTTAAATCCAAATACTTGTTTTCTTATAAGGCGGTGAATTGTGGAAGATTTAATACTGGTATCAATTTCATAGCCGCTCATGAGAAGAAAGAAAAAACAGAAAAATCTGTTGGACTTTCTTCAGTAGTCATTGCCTTCCCCGAGTGTTCTTCATGTTCTAGAGTTACAATAGTTGTATAGTTCACTCACAAGAGGGTCTTTCCTTTTTCTTTTTTCTTTTTTAATTTGTAAATAGGTTAATCTAAAACCCAGGGTTCCAACAAAAGCCGTGTGTGCAGAGCATCTTGAATTAAGAAAAGAAATATTGACACTGCTGAATCTTCAAAAGCAGGTATTGTTTTCTTTTTCCATATGAATGCCCCACCAGATTTATGCGCTTTAAACTTGCATTAACGTACCACTCATAAACAGTGGATTCAATCATTTTTTTTAGTTTAGTTCTAGTTTTGTTGTCATTCTTGTTACATTCAAACAGTTGCAAAATAAGGAGGCAGAAGGTTCTTCTTTCCGTGAGAGTCCGTACAGCGAGGCACCTGGCACACCTAAGGTCGGTAAATGTACTCACGAGCACCGTAATTTCCCATATCTGTGTGACTCTTCCTCTGCTAACAGCATTCATTTCATGCTCTGGGTGTAGGATCGTGCTTTTATTGCTGATTCTATGAATTTTGGAGGTAAATGGGTTCGATTCTTTCAGAAGTCAACGGGAGAAAATCTGGGAGATCACTTTGTTTATACATATTGTGTATACTCTATTTTACCCAATTGAAGAGTATTTTTCTGTAATTCTATTAGCTGGGGCTTCTTTTTCTGTTCTGGAAGTTCATTTACATGTATATTTTTCTTCTGCTAGGGGAAAGGTTTGTTAAACGGGACCAAAAACGAAAGGTATGTTTGTCAACTATTTATCTTGGAACTCTTTAGGTGTTACCACTCTGTATTTTGTTTTGCGTCTCATTTTTCTTGCCGATCATTGTTAGGCCACTGGAAGATTATCTGAAGCTCCATCATCACCAGCTCAATCTAATAAAAGGCCAAGAAAACAGAAGGGATCCGATCTGTGATCCTCCAGGTGTGTAAGAAATCTCGGACATATGGTTGAATTGAGATATTAATGGTATTTCATAAATGTAAATCTAAGATGGCTGACATATGGTTCCATCATCTAACAATCTTAATTACAGTGGTATGCATCTAAAAGGCTAATGCTGGAGCAGGCAGCTTTCCATGATGCCCTTTTGGAGCATCATTATCTGATTGATTAAGGATGTTGTGATGAACGTTGATACTGGTTAAGAGACTCGATTTTCATGGTCGTCTCTGCAATCGGGTTAACAACTGTCTGTTTAGTTCATTTATCTTCATCACGAAGGCAAAGCTCTGGTTTTCTTACATCTACTCGCTAGTTTGGTCTTTCTTTTGTTGGCAGAGTTAGCAGGATAGTTCTTCTTATATGATGGTGTATTACATGTAAATCTAGCCAGAAACGAGGAAAATTAACTCTTTTTTATACACTACTTTCATTTTGTGTATTAGTTTTTGTTCTTCAACCTACTTTTTTAGTAGATGTAAAAGAATCATGATGTAATTTTCTTTTCTATTGTTGACAAGTAACGTAATATCAAATGGTTGCTATTCTAGCACGGGTATGCCGCCTGTTGTGGCTCCCATCGAACTAAATTTTCCTTTTTAAAAAAGTTTACTTTCTGTGAGATCCTACATCAGTTAGAGAAGGGAACAAATCATTCTTTTTAAGAGCATGAAAACAAATCATTCTTTTTAAGAGCATGAAAACTTTTACCTGTGTTTTAAAACCCTAAGGCAGACGGTAGTACTTAACGAGCTAAAACAGGCAATATCATTGGCATAAGTTAGTCATCAATAATATATGTATCATTTATTGAACAATAGAACTTTACATGGCTACTCTGTTCAATGAACTTGAGAAAAGGCTAGCTTGAAAACACAACGTTTGTAATATCTGGGAACTTCTCCTTAATGGCTGCTTTAATTCCTGTACCAATAGATTCAGGACCCTCATACATAACGACGCAATTGCCACCATCGATCGATATTACTTCCACGCTCCCGCCATAGTTCCTTATGGCTGGCCTCAATATGTCAAGATGACTATTTACTGCCTGCATTGGTGCAACATCCAACGTTAATACTAATTCAGCTCTCTGTTTTTGTTTGGATTTAACATCAGCAAGTGTCACAAAACATCGAAACTTGTTCGAGTTCTTTTGTATTTGTTCGTCCAGAGAAAACTCACCTCGGTTGTTATTTCCTTTGGCTCTTCATCATATACTTGGCATATTTCCTTCACTGAATCTCCAAACTTTTCCTTCAGTACTCGTTCGATTCCCATCTTCATGGTGGTTGTTGAGCTCGGGCAGCTACCGCATGCTCCTGAGGATCGATTTGATTCTTGCTAAGTCTTTAGTTAAAAAAAAAAGTGTAAAATCTTGAAGCTGATGGAATAAATGAAATCTAAGCTCAAAACTCAAAGATAAACTCAGGTATCGGTTGCAAGATGTCTAACAGGATAGTGAGGATTATCTGCTCACTACCTTTTGCCCACCTACTTCAAGGAGTCATTTTCCCCTACAGAACACGAAACAGATAAACTCACCAGGCACGTGTCGAGCAGGTACTAGAGGTCCAAACCCAGCCTGGACCGAGATAACAAATAAATGCTCTTCAACTAGTCAATAAGGAAAAGTTTTAAAACTAGTTGTGTGAGATCCCACTCGGTTGGAGAGGGGAACGAAACATTCCTTATATATATGGGTATGAAAACCTCTCCCTAGCAGACACGTTTTAGAACTGTGAGGCTGACAGCGATACGTAACGGGCTAAAGCGGACAATATATGTTAGCGGTGGGTTTGGGCTGTTACAAATGGCATCCGAGCCAAACACCAGGCGGTATGCTAACGAGGATACTGGGCTCCCAAGGGGGTGAATTGTGAGATCCCACATCGGTTGGAGAGAAGAACAAAGCGCTCCTTAAAAGGGTGAGAAAACTTATCCTTAACAGACACGTTTCAAAACCATGAAGCGGATGGCAATATGCAACGGACCAAAGTGGACAATATTTGTTAGCGGTGAGCTTGGGTTGTTACAAGCGAAAGAGCTACATCAATCTTCAGTCCGTGAGTTTAGACCGGATGAAAATCCCACATGTCCTAGGAAACATCCATATTCCAAACATACCAGAACTCCCAACAAAATTCTCCTGAAAACTCTTAGCAATGGGGCAGAGAGCAAAAAATATGATGAAAACCTAAACATATAAGAATTGTGAACCTGGACGGCAAAAGGATATTGCATCTTCATGAACCTTTTCAGTGGTATTTGAGCTTCTAAGTACCAAGGCCATGGAACTAAGAGTTCTTTGATGTTTTCAACTTATAAGGATCCTATAACTCTTGGTCTAAGAAACACCCAAATGAAGAATTTAGAATTTTCTGAGGCATAAACCCCTAACCTTTTCGATTGTTCATCAACATTTCGCGCACATAAGCAATAGCAATCAATCATTCAATTACAAAAATTTCAATACACAAAGCTAAATTAACAAACAAGATTAAAACAAACCCATTCAATGAAATGAGATCAGAAATTCACCCACCAACGAGTTTGAGAGAGACGATTCCATCTTCAACGGACACGACGTCGACATTTCCTCCATCTGCGATTAGATAGGGCCTAACGTCCTCAAGAACCAAGTCTACGTTTGCAATGGTCAGTTCAAATTTCTGGGCGGAGTACAGCCCTGGCGAGGAGCTCGTGGATGGACCAGAATTCGAAGCGGAAGCTCTAATGGATTGTCTGGGCAACGCCCTATTCAGTGAAACGGGTATTTGATGTTGCCCAAAAGCAGAAGGTGGGTACTGGCGGTGATTTGCAAGAGCTTGCGAATAATAAAGAGGGGTTTTGAGGAGGCCGGAGATAGTTAAAGACGCCATTGATGAAGAAGAAATGAAAATGAATCTAGCCGATGATGACGAACTTGTTTTACGTCCGCCGATCCAAGTTTTATACTTGTATTTTTTTTCTTTTTTTATTTTATTTTACCTTTTTAATAAAAAAATCAATGAAACAGAGTCGATCATGTCATCTCATGACTATAACCAAACAACCCTACTAACCTATGGTTAATTGAAAGGTTGTAATTTACATGATCATCAATACCATTATAACTACTAGCTAGTTACTACATGCACCTGTCTCAAAAACGTTTAGTTTCAGCTTATTACGAAATCTTTGCAGATTAGTTTGTATACAGGTATGTGCTGTGCATTCTATGCAGATTAGTTTGTATACAGGTATGTGCTGTACACAATGCTTTGATCATAACATCAGAACATTCATGAAAAGTTTGTGCTGAAGCGTTGAAGCGTGAGTAGACTTGTAACTTTTTAGATTTCATACATTAAAATAACACAAAAGCAATCAGAAACCACTGAGTTTGAAAATCAAAACCTAACAAGTATGTTGTTTTGGGACTATATGAACCCTAAACACACTGCCTTCCTATTTTAACAGTATAGAAGTACAACCAATTTCTTCCGCTCCTCAGCTGATAGTTATCTGCCATGGACGAAATGCCAAGTCGGAATCTCAGACGATAGAATGGGTTTAAACAAAAAAACTCATTTTCTATTCCTGCTTTCCTCACGATCCTTTTCTCGTTTCTTGTAAAGCTTCTCGAGAACACGCTTGGCCTCGCATAGAGGGAAGTTCGCCAGATCGTAATAGTGTGCTGCTACGTCCACCAACCTGTTGTGACAAGAACAGGAAGAATAGATCAACGTTGTTGCTATCAACTCAGTTATTAGTGCAAGATTTTTAGTTTGAAAAAAGAACATCCTTGCATCATGTGTAGCAAGGATTAACTTGCAAGTAATACTTAAGATCTAATGCATAAGACCAGACCAAAAGTATATACAAATAAACTTGCTTCTGGATACAAGCATTTAGCATTACAGCGAGAGAGACTAACCATTCACCCCGGATATCCGTCACGGTACGGATGAAATTCCTACTCGTTAGGACGTACTCATTATAAATGACCCACTCTGGTTTATGGTCCAAGCAATTTGATGGATGCAAGTGTACCACCTGTAGAACAGATTTGTTAATCCCAAATACAGGCATTGAAAGTGCAGGGTTTACCATGATCTGGTACATTAAGAAAAGAATCCATACCTGGTTGTCCTTCACTGTCAAGTAGTGTCCAGTCCGCTCCAGATGAGCTACTTGCATGAAATACCCAGAAAGCATTGCCTTTCTTATGTTTACGTAGTATTCACGGCTGTTGAAATCTGTGCTGCATAATTTGAGGTTAAACCTAGCCATGATGCGGACTAGTTGCTCCCTGACATTATCTGCAGACTTCATTGCCCTGTGATTGATGAAGTTTTCGTAGCACCATGATTGATCCTCATCTGTGACATAATAATTGCTTTAGGAATCCATCAAAATTGAATGTAATTAATTGAAAAGGTCAAAGTGAAGACCATAAATACTTACTGTTTTGCTTGTAAGCGTGGTACACGTTCAAGAGCGTTAGATGATCTCCATCAATGTGGCCAAACCTAGCTTTCGCTTCGTCAGCAGCCTTTTGAGCCTCCCTAGGCCGGACAAAGCAATTGGGTACTAAGAAAGAAATTGGTAATCACACACAGGAGGCCCAGGGAAGGTCAGCAGATGCATAGATGCAAGACGAGACCATTTGCTTCATGAGATAATACTGAGAAACTGCAACTAACTACATCAGCACTGACTGAGAAATCTTATGGTGCATGCCATCTGAGGGCATGGAACCAGAGAAGATAGTTGCTGATGACAACCTAGTGTGACAAAATTGTGTTCTAACAACTACTAGTTAGAAGACATGACAGATATACTGCAAACATGCCACGCCAATAAAAATGCATCAAACTTTGATGCATCCTGCCCACTGTTTAAGAACCATGGGCATATGACGTACACACTAAATAGAACTCGAAAGAAATGGTAAACTTAAAAAATTGCAGAAGAGAGGGCTGAAGTACCTGAAAGCATGGCAGAAATTGATAGTATTTCATTTGAACATTTGAATTCTGGACTAACAACGAGCATCTTTGACATCTGAGGATCTAATGGAAATTCACTCATTATTTCCCCAAGCTTCGTTAGGTTACCCTCATCATCCAATGCACCCAAGTAATTCAGAACTTCTAAAGCTCGCATCAAAGTCTCAGGAGCAGGTGGATCCATAAAATCAAAATGCACAAGGTCATCAATGCCCAATTTCTTCAAGGTAAGAACAGTATTTGCAAGATTTGATCTCAAAATTTCAGGATATGTCTGTGGCTGCAAATCATTTTGGAAACTCCTTTCTGTGTAAAGTCTAAAACATTTTCCAGGCTGAGTTCTTCCAGCACGACCAGATCTCTGATGTGCACTGGCCTTTGATATAGGAGATACCAGTAATGATTCCACGCGTACTCGAGGATTATAAACTTTCTGTTTTGAGAAGCCAGGGTCAATAACATAGACAATGCCATCTATGGTCAATGAAGTCTCTGCAATGTTTGTGGAAACCACAATCTTCCTTCCAGGAGGTCCAT